TGTTAAAGTGTGTTTCAGAGTGTGTGTTAGAGTGTGTTTTAGAGTGTGTTTTAGAGTGTGTGTTAAAGTGTGTTTCAGAGTGTGTGTTAGAGTGTGTTTCAGAGTGTGTGTTAGAGTGTGTGTTAAAGTGTGTTTTAGAGTGTGTGTTAAAGTGTGTTTTAGAGTGTGTGTTAAAGTGTGTTTCAGAGTGTGTGTTTCAGTGTGTGTTAAAGTGTGTTTTAGTGTGTGTGTTGAAGTGTGTTTCAGAGTGTGTGTTTCAGAGTGTGTGTTAGAGTGTATTTCAGAGTGTGTGTTTCAGAGTGTGTGTTAGAGTGTGTTTCAGAGTGTGTGTTAGAGTGTGTGTTAAAGTGTGTTTTAGTGTGTGTGTTAAAGTGTGTTTCAGAGTGTGTGTTTCAGAGTGTGTGTTTCAGAGTGTGTGTTTCAGAGTGTGTGTTAGTGTGTGTTTTAGAGTGTGTGTTAGAGTGTGTGTTAAAGTGTGTTTTAGTGTGTGTGTTAAAGTGTGTTTCAGAGTGTGTGTTTCAGAGTGTGTGTTTCAGAGTGTGTGTTAGAGTGTGTTTCAGAGTGTGTGTTTCAGAGTGTGTGTTAGAGGGTGTTTCAGAGTGTGTGTTAGAGTGTGTGTTAAAGTGTGTTTTAGTGTGTGTGTTAAAGTGTGTTTCAGAGTGTGTGTTTCAGAGTGTGTGTTTCAGAGTGTGTGTTAAAGTGTGTGTTAAAGTGTGTTTCAGAGTGTGTGTTTCAGAGTGTGTGTTAGAGTGTGTGTTAAAGTGTGTTTCAGAGTGTGTGTTTCAGAGTGTGTGTTAGAGTGTGTTTCAGAGTGTGTGTTTCAGAGTGTGTGTTTCAGAGTGTGTGTTTCAGAGTGTGTGTTAGAGTGTGTTTCAGAGTGTGTGTTTCAGAGTGTGTGTTAAAGTGTATTTTAGTGTGTGTGTTAAAGTTTGTTTCAGAGTGTGTGTTTCAGAGTGTGTTAGAGTGTGTTTCAGAGTGTGTGTTTCAGAGTGTGTGTTAAAGTGTGTGTTTCAGAGTGTGTGTTTCAGTGTGTGTTTCAGAGTGTGTGTTAAAGTGTGTGTTAAAGTGTGTGTTTCAGAGTGTGTGTTAGAGTGTGTGTTAAAGTGTGTTTTAGTGTGTGTTTCAGAGTGTGTGTTAAAGTGTGTGTTAAAGTGTGTTTCAGAGTGTGTGTTAGAGTGTGTTTTAGAGTGTGTGTTAAAGTGTGTTTCAGAGTGTGTGTTTCAGAGTGTGTGTTAGAGTGTGTGTTAAAGTGTGTTTTAGTGTGTGTTTCAGAGTGTGTGTTAAAGTGTGTGTTAAAGTGTGTTTCAGAGTGTGTGTTAGAGTGTGTTTTAGAGTGTGTGTTAGAGTGTGTGTTAAAGTGTGTTTCAGAGTGTGTGTTTCAGAGTGTGTGTTAAAGTGTGTGTTAAAGTGTGTTTTAGTGTGTGTGTTAAAGTGTGTTTCGGAGTGTGTGTTTCAGAGTGTGTGTTTCAGAGTGTGTGTTAGAGTGTGTTTTAGAGTGTGTGTTAGAGTGTGTGTTAAAGTGTGTTTTAGAGTGTGTGTTAAAGTGTGTTTCAGAGTGTGTGTTTCACAGTGTGTGTTAAAGTGTGTGTTAAAGTGTGTTTTAGTGTGTGTGTTAAAGTGTGTTTCAGAGTGTGTGTTTCAGAGTGTGTGTTTCAGAGTGTGTGTTTCAGAGTGTGTGTTTCAGAGTGTGTGTTTCAGAGTGTGTGTTAGAGTGTGTTTTAGAGTGTGTGTTAGAGTGTGTGTTAAAGTGTGTGTTAGTGTGTGTGTTAAAGTGTGTTTCAGAGTGTGTGTTTCAGAGTGTGTGTTAGAGTGTGTTTCAGAGTGTGTGTTTCAGAGTGTGTGTTAGAGTGTGTTTCAGAGTGTGTGTTAGAGTGTGTGTTAAAGTGTGTTTTAGTGTGTGTGTTAAAGTGTGTTTCAGAGTGTGTGTTTCAGAGTGTGTGTTTCAGAGTGTGTTTTAGAGTGTGTGTTAGAGTGTGTGTTAAAGTGTGTTTTAGTGTGTGTGTTAAAGTGTGTTTCAGAGTGTGTTTCAGAGTGTGTGTTAGAGTGTGTTTCAGAGTGTGTGTTTCAGAGTGTGTGTTAGAGTGTGTTTCAGAGTGTGTGTTTCAGAGTGTGTGTTTCAGAGTGTGTGTTAAAGTGTGTTTTAGTGTGTGTGTTAAAGTGTGTTTCAGAGTGTGTGTTTCAGAGTGTGTGTTAGAGTGTGTTTCAGAGTGTGTGTTTCAGAGTGTGTGTTTCAGAGTGTGTGTTAAAGTGTGTGTTAAAGTGTGTGTTTCAGAGTGTGTGTTTCAGAGTGTGTGTTTCAGAGTGTGTGTTTCAGAGTGTGTGTTAAAGTGTGTTTTAGTGTGTTTGTTAAAGGGTGTTTCAGAGTGTGTGTTTCAGAGTGTGTGTTAAAGTGTGTGTTAAAGTGTGTTTTAGTGTGTGTGTTAAAGTGTGTTTCAGAGTGTGTATTTCAGAGTGTGTGTTAAAGTGTGTTTTAGTGTGTGTGTTAAAGTGTGTTTCAGAGTGTGTGTTTCAGAGTGTGTGTTTCAGAGTGTGTGTTAAAGTGTGTTTTAGTGTGTGTGTTAAAGTGTGTTTCAGAGTGTGTGTTTCAGAGTGTGTGTTTCAGAGTGTGTGTTAAAGTGTGTGTTAAAGTGTGTGTTGGTGTAAATGTTCACCTGCTGCTAAAACAAGAAGAGCTGCAGCTGGTCTCAGATCTGCCCTCCTGTTTACTTTTTCTATATCTGATTTATTCTACTATTGTTTTGTTTTGTTTGTTTTTTTACACCCTCAGGAAACAAAAACATATATGTATAAATAAAAATATATTTTCAAATTATGAACTTGTAGTTTAATTTTCTTTTCCCTTTTCTTTTCACTCTTTAATTTTTAATTTTTTTTTAATCTTCATATTATTTTTTCTTCATCTATATTAGTTTGAAATGTCTTTATAATTTCATTTTTTCTTATTTTGCTGTCTTATTTAGTCAAACTAATTTGTATCAAATTAATGAAAAAAAAATCTTTGATTATTGTTGTTAATTTTAAACGGTATAAAAACTTTGGATTCATTTGTTGGGCATAAATAATTCATATGGACAGGTGTCATAAGCCCCGCCCACTGCTTTTAAAGCCACGCCCCCCGGCTGCCCCAGCCCTGACATTCCGGTAGTTTCATTCAGTCCTGACGGAGCGTCTCTCTGAGTTCTGCTGCATCTCTTCTTATTTTTCTTCTCCTGAATGGACTGGAAGCATGCGGCGAGGCAGAGGTGCATGCTGGGATTGCTCAGGCGCGTTGGGATGGATTGTGGGAAGGGACGAGCGAGGTGGGTTTCATATAGAGAGAGCTGATGGTGAAGGTTGGAGACCTGAGAGGCTGTGAGTGCTGGTTAATGAACGACTGAGGGTCACTCCACTGGTTTCTGCAACATTCCTAAAGACGACGACTTGAAGGTTGGAGTGAGAACCGGACGGACAGCTTTCAGAGAGGATTGGTCTGTCAGACGGGAAGACAGGACGTCCTGTTGGGGATGGAAAACTCAAAACGCTACTTTTGTTTGGATTCTTGACTCATCTCTGCTTCCACCTTTAAATGTTTCTCCACAGCAACATTTGATGCTGAAAATTAAGCCAAATATCCGTATGTTTGTTTCCGTAAAGCTTTGCTGATCCTATTTCTGCTGAAAGAAACGCCTACCTGCTGTTTTATCTGCCTTTAACAGATCAATAAACGCTCTGTAACTATTACATAAGAATATAAAAGGTACAGGACGCTCTCTAAAGCTAAGAATAACCGCTGACTTAGGGATAAAGTTTAGCTTCGATTTGTCTCAAAAAGAAACAATCAGAAGTAAAAGTTATTTTGTCATTAAGATAATCTAATGTCTAATGCAGCAGAGGATAAAATATCAGATTCAAAATGTTTTAGAATATGTATTTCAGTTTTATATCATCTTTTAAAATGATTCCTGCTGCTTCTGTAGAACTTCCTCTCTCTTTGGTTTTCTTTCTTTAACCTCCAAAAAAAGTAAAAAAAAAACAACAAACAATAAAATCAATCCACTGGACTTTGTTTCCAAGTTTGAAGACGTTTCTCTTCCATCCAGGAAGCTTTTTAAATTCAAAATGTGAGAAATAGCGTTGAGTTCCAGGTTTTATACAGTAGCCCAACAAAGCCTGGTTTTAGTTTAGAAAACATGCAAATAGAAACGGATGAACGGGTCTGACCAGTGCCAGCTGCTGGAGTTTTCTCAAGGGGGGGCTATAAATTCAAAATAGTCGTATACTATATAGTATAGAAGACCTCCCCTATTCAGCCAGGCCAAAAATTCCCTCTAACAACCTCCCTTTCAGAGGCATAGACCAGTATAAGGTATTACAGACTAACAAAAGAAGCCCCTAACATTCCATTCCAAAGGGGTGGACCCATTCCTCCGTTTCAATTTGCATGTTCTTTGTTGGGCTGCTGGATAAAACCTGGAACTCAACACTATTTCTGACATTTTATATTGAAAAATCTCCCTGGATGGAAGAGAAACGTCTTTAAACTTGGAAACAAAGTCAAGTGGATTGTTTTTAACTCTCCTTGGAACTACGCTGACCTGGATGACTGAGAATCTCAACCACAAATATTTCTTGAACCTCCTGAAATTTTATTTTTACTGCTAAATAACTTCTAAGCTCCTGAACTTTCTCATGTGTTTGGAGAAGATTTGGGTTCCAAACTGAACCATTGCTCCGGTTTATTTGTGTTGCTTTGACTTCATCTGATAAAATTTTATTTAGTTTTTGTTAAGGGGATCTTATTATAACGTCTCTTTTAGATAATATTTTTTTAAAGTCTTTTATTTTGAAAATTTTCTCTGCAATCATGACTCTTTGACTTTAAAGTGAAGCTTTTATCATATTCATATAATGATGCATTTGTTACTTTAGTTACTTCCATTATGAGTCATTTAATTGATGTTTGTTTCCACTGTCAGTCTGTTTGCCAGATAAATTTATATATTTTGTTTCTCTTTGTTCAGAGTCCAGTCTGTACGGTTCTGACGGTTCAGGACTTCAGATTCAAACCAGCAACCAAAGTGAGAAAACGTTCCTCTGAATGATCACAGCAACAAAAACCGAACTTTCATCTCTGACTGGTTCTGATTTCTATCAGGTGTAACTTCTCCTACAGTAGGTGGTGTCGGTGGACCTGCAGGCGGTGCTGCGGGATCTCCAGGTCCCAAACGCACCGGTTCTGGAACCGGAAACACTCTGAAGGTAACATCTGGCAGCTGTTAGTAGCTCCACCTCAGCAGAGGGGGGGAAAGGGTGGTGCACTCAGACTGACGGTTAACTGTCTGTTGCAGCGCTGGTTGACGAGTCCGGTCCGAAGACTGAGTCAAGGAAAAGCTGACGGACAGAAAAAGCCTCCGATCAGAACCAGGAGGCGGGACAACAGGCCTGATGTGACCACGCCCCTCACCGGGAACGCACAGACGGTCTGTAACCACATCCTTAAACGTATTCTATCCACGTTTGCAGAATTCTCCGACTCAAAGCAACAACGTTTGTGTTTTGTTGGTTAAGAAGGCGAAGAAGGACGAAGCTGTGCAAAGTGGCGGGGAGGAGGAGCCTGAGGAAGAAAGCCACACCCCTCTGCCGCCTCCTATGCAAATCATCAAAGACCCCAACAACCCTGAGGTGAGAAACACTTTCGTTTTTCACCCATCCTGTCGTTGCTATGGCAGCCGTACTGATGTTAGCTTCTCCTCAGGGTTTGGATTCGGATCAGGGATCCAATGAGTCGGACTCGGAGCAGAGAAATAAAGCGCTGAGGGGACGAATGTAAGAAAAGCAGAACTCTGACCGTAACCATGGTTATAGATAACCTCTAACCGATGCTTTTGGAACAGGTTTGTTGTTAACGAGATGGTCCAGTCAGAGAAGGACTATGTGAAGGACTTGGGTGTGATCGTTGAGGTGAAGACCTGATCAGGGAAACCATCATTTAAAAAAGACAAAAGAGCCAAAAAGTTAAACCTGTGCTGATTTCTTTGGACCTATCAGGGCTTCATGTCCAGGCTGGAGGTCAGAGGGATCCCAGAAGACATGACGGGCAAAGACAAGATCGTCTTCGGGAACATCCAGCAGATCTACGACTGGCACAGAGAGTCAGTCCCTCAGGAGAAACACCATGTAGCCGTGTTTTCTGACACGTCGCTCAGAGACCGGCCGCTGACGTCTGCTTTCTGTTTCAGCTTCTTCTTGGTGGAGTTGGAGCGCTGCGTCCAGAACCACGACCTGCTGGCCGACCTCTTCATTCGACATGTAAGATCTGAACCCAGACTGTTCAATGAGGACGTTCCTGAGTAACAACCAGACTTTATCTAAGCTTAAATCATTGGAACGCTCCTCGCCAAAATGACCCTCATTACCTGCAACCTCATCCCAGATCGTTCTGATGACCCTCAGCGTGTCAGGTTGATGTGGACCGTAAACACGGCTCCATGTTCTCGGTTTGAAGGTTTGTTGGCGTCCAATCCAAGCTTTATGTTTAAGCCGATGTAGGTACCAGATCTGCTCAGGGCTCCGCCCCCTTCTTATGACATCAACATATGGCAACTCCACTCGGACAAACTGTATTACACCTGTTTCTTTAAAGTCGTAGGGAAATCATATTTAAATTTTAAATTATTCTGGCTTAAACATGTATATAACTGGACTCTTTATTAGACCATATTGTCCCAATATTTAAAACATTTGTATTTAAAAAAAAAATCCTGTCTTAAAATCTGTGTTTTTTTTTCGTTATCTTCTTCAGGCCAGTTAGTTCTACGTCAGCCTGAACACCTAAATTCAGCCAATCATATATCAACGTAGCCTCGTGAGACCATCCTGATCTCGCGATCTTTCAACATTTCACTCGCAGATCAGTCTAGAGACTCTCCGTTAAAGAAAATTTGGAGCCGTTCACCAAACGAACGTCCAATCAGCGTTGGCTTTGAGGCGGGTTGAGGTGTGACGCAACGAGAAGCGCGACAGTTCAGTCTAAAGAACATGGCGGCTTCAGCCGATGAAACTAGCGTTAGCGTGGCTATCGAGCAAGTTTTATCGGAATTACAGAGGATGGACGTCTGTGTCTTCGGCAGGCGTAGAGCTAACAGAACTGGCAGCGTTGCGAGGCAAGGGCTCAAACATGTACGGCTGGAAGCCTTCTACACCAAACCGATAATTCGCCACTGTTGCGTTTTAACAGCAAACGATCAAAGATTTGGAGATTTTCTGTCAATCGTTTCCTAAATCCTGTTTGTCTTGTTTTCCAGGAGCGGCGACTGCATATGTACATAGTTTACTGCCAGAACAAGCCGAGGTCAGAGTTCATTGTAATAGAGTACGAAACCTTCTTTGAGGTAATTTAACATGTTTTATTCTTTCATTTCTTCAAACATTATTAGATGTTTTTCCTGATTAAAATTTAGACACGAAACACAATGGAAAAAAAGGTCAATCTAATTAAGTCATTTTTTCTTAAAATAAGTGCATTTTTTCTTGACTTGAGGAGATAAGTGAGACATTTTGCAAATGGAACAAGACAATTTACATGTAAAATAAGAAAAAAACTATATCATTGTCATTATTTCAAGTTTACATTATCTAATTATCTTATTTTAAGAGTAAAAATCCTAAACCCAGTGGCAAATCATCTTATTTACCTGCTCATATTGAGGCTAAATACACTTAATTTAAGACATTTTGAATTTTTTGTAGATTGTTGTTCCAGTGTGATGAGTTTGATAATAAACTTTCTTAACTACACTACAAAAACGATCTAGAAATAAGTAAACATTTCTTAAATTAAGTGTATTTGCCCTTAATTTGAGCAGGTAAATGAGATAGTTTGCCAATGGAATCAGTATTTTTACTGTTAAAATAAGATAATTAGATAAGAAGCACTTGAAATAAGACAATCCATTTGTGTTTTCTTATTTAAAATCTAAATAGTCTTGTTTCATTGGTAAAATGTCTCTTAAATCTCCTCCATTCAAGAACAAATGCAGTTATTTTATGAAAAAATGATTTTTTTTTTGCAGTGTAAAGTGATTGAATTGACCTGGATGTTCATTTTTGCAGGAGATCCAGCATGAAATCAGCTGCAGGATGTCGATTAGTGATTATCTGATCAAACCCATCCAGAGAATCACTAAATACCAGCTGCTGCTCAAGGTCAGTTTGGACTTTTGGACATTTATGTGAATAAAAGAATAGATGTAAAATTTATTGGTAGAAATTTAAATTTTACAGATTTTTAGTTCAATTGGATTTTATTTTATTTTTTTAGAAATAAGAGGTACCTGCTGGTTTTAACGTGTTTTTTTAACATCCGTTTCTTCCTGATATGTTGATGATGTCATATTGGTGAAGAGTCTCAGTCATCCAGGTCACAGTCGTTCCAAAAAAAGTTAAAAAAAAATCCACTGGACTTTATTTCAGAGTTTGAAGCTTTTTCAATACAGTTTAATTATTTTGATTTGACTTCATATGATAAAACTTTATTTAGTTTTTGTTAAGCGGATCTTATTATAATGTCTCTTTTAGTTGATATTTGTAAAAAGTTTTTTATTTTGAAAATTTGCTGTTGTTTAGTATTTTATTTTATTTATTTTTTTAGAAATCTGAGGTACTTGCTGGTTTTAACTTGGTCCTTTTGTATAATGTTCATTTTTTTGTTGAAAAATTGTTTTGTAGAAAAAATCGAAATCTAGATGAGTCATTTTTTTCTTGGATTGAGGAGATAAAAGAGACATTTTGTCAATGGAACAAGATAATTTACACTTAAAATAAGGAAACACGATTGCTTGGTCTTATTTCAAGTGCATTTGATCTAATTATCTTATTTTAATAGTAGAATCCTCATTCCACACTGCAAAAACAATCCAGAAATAAGTAAAAAATGGCTTAAATTAAGTATATTTAGCCTTAATTTGAGCAGGTAAATAAGATGATTTGCCAATGGAATGAGTATTTTCACTCTTAAAATAAGATAGTTAGATAATATTTACTTGAAATAAGACGATAAAATAGTTTTTTCTTATTTTAAAAGGAAATTGTCTTGTTCCATTGGCAAAGTGTCTTACTTATCTCCTCAAATCAAGGAAAAACACACTTATTTTAAGAAAAAATAACTTATTGAGATTTATATTTTTTGCAGTGCAGCGGCAAATCATCTTATTTACCTGCTCAAATTAAGGATAAATACAAGTAATTTAAGACATTTTGACTTTTTTCTCGATCGTTTTTCCAGTGCACTGGAACAAGTATTTTTATTTTAGATAATATAAATTGAAATAAGACAACAAAATAGATTGTTTTTCTTATTTCAAATGTAAATGTTCCATTGCCAAAGTGTCTATCTTATCTCCTCAATTAAAGAACAAATGCACAAATTTTAGAAAAACTGACTTATCTAGATTTATTTTTTTTTTCCAGAGTTCATATCCATAAAAACTACAATATTGAACACTGGAAGCTAAAATAAATCTAACTTCTTTAAGTCTTTATTTTTTGATTAAATCATTAAATTGTGCCTAAAATTGAGCATTTTCTTGAATTTTTAATAATGTTGAAGATAAAGAAAATAAGCTGCAGATAAGAAAACAAAGTCCTTATGACTCCCTGTCTGGTTTCAGGAAGGATTGATCTGTTAGAGAGATTTAAAAATCTTAAAAATCTTCAGCACGTTCCCATCAAATAGAAATATATAAATAATAATAATGATTTTTCTGACACTGTGATTAAATCAGATTGTTTTTTTTTTTTATCTTTCAGGATTTCCTGAAGTATACGAGTAAAGCTGGTCTGGACTGTGAGGAGATTGAGGTGAATCCTGCAGCCGTTTCTTTAATTCTGCTCATTTTTGCACTATTTTACTAAAAATAATCTTAAACCCAGAGATGGATCTGCTTCGCCCTCTGCTGACCGGTTGGTGTTTCAAATAAACGGTTTTATTCTCATATTAACTGCCTCATGATCTTTAAGAGGTTTTCTCACCTTATGGTAATTTTCCTGCTTTTCCTTTTATATCAGTTTGATCTTTAATAATCAAACATTTTAATTCAGCATTTGTACCTACACTTAAAACAAGACAAGGCAATTGTTTTTTTTCTCATTTTAAATGTAATTTGTCTTGTTCTTTTGGCAAAGTGTCTGTTTTTCCTCCTTAATCCAAGAAAAAAATGCTCTTATTTTAAGAAAAAATGACTTATATTTTTTGCAGTGTAAAATGCTTTGCACTTGTTCAGAGCGCAGACATGAGGAAGTGCGCTGACGTTTGCTTTTATCTCATTTTCAAAGCTGTGATGAAGACAAAGAGGCGGCATTGTGAGGAAGATAATAAATGATTCATTCGGTGAATCATCAGCCGGCGGAGAATCGCCCACCTCTGCAATATTTAACAGGCGGTTTGTGTTTTTGTTTGCAGAAAGCCGTGGAGCTAATCTCGCTGGTTCCTAAGCGCTGTAACGACATGATGAACCTGGGACGCCTGCAGGGTTATGAGGTACGCCATGAGGCCTGCAGCGCCCCCCTGTGGCCTAAAACACTTTATGGTTACAGAAGAATTTATCTAATTATGAAAAATAAACATAAAACATAAAAAATCAACGCCCCAAAAAAGTTATGATTTATTGTGTGCTGTTATCCAGTTATAAGATTTGTTAAAGGATGTCTGCCCCCTAGTGGCATAACACAGTAGGTGCAGCTTTTAAAAGATGCTGCATCATTAATCTAATATTTACAGGAGAGGATTAGGGCCACTGAAAAAATAAAAAAAAGGTAACTGATTTTTAAATACTACTTCAGTTTAATATGGGAAAAAAGGTCAGAATTAAATGAGTTTAATCTCAGAATTAGGCGACTTTTTCCGTCCCTGAGGGTCCCTGCTGATGCTATTTGATTAATGGAAGAGCAGAAGGTGATTAAAACAAGAGAGCTAGTCTCTAAAACAGACATGGCTACGGCTGCATGCTAACATGTTTGTTAGCTGTCACAATTTCGAAGATTAAAGTCAGAATTCTGAGATTAAAGTCGGAATTCTCAGATTAAAGTCGGAATTCTGAGATTAAAGTCGGAATTCTGAGATTAAAGTCGGAATTCTGAGATTCAAGTCGGAATTCTGAGATTAAAGTTGGAATTCTGAGATTAAAGTTGGAATTCTGAGATTCAAGTCGGAATTCTGATAAAAGTCGGAAATTCTGATAAAAGTCGGAATTCTGAGAGTCAAGTCGGAATTCTGAGATTAAAGTCGGAATTCTGAGATTAAAGTCGGAATTCTGAGAGTCAAGTCGGAATTCTGAGATTTAAGTCGGAATTCTAAGATTAAAGTCGGATATCTGAGAAAAGTCAGATATTTCATCTATTTTTAAGCAGAATTTTTAATAAACTAATCAAAATTGAGAAGTAAAATATTACTTTTTTTGTGTGTTTTTTCCAATTATTATGTACCTTGAATGCAGGTGATGTTTGGAAGGTGAGGTTTTTCTGACTCCTCATGCTCCTCTCTCCCAGGGGAAGCTGACGTCTCAGGGGAAGCTGCTGCAGCAGGAAACCTTCTGCGTTTGGGAGCAGGACGGCGGCGTTTTATCGCGCAGCAAAGAGCGCCGAGTTTTCCTGTTCGAGCAGGTCGTCATCTTCAGCGAACTGCTGCGGAAAGGCTCCAACAACCCTGGCTACCAGTTCAAGAACAGCATAAAGGTGAGGCCAGGCCCGACTGGGAGGACGTGCAGCCAGTTTATGACATCAGAGCCCATTAACCGTTTGTGCGCCAACAGGTGAGTTACCTGGCCATGCAGGACAGCGTGGACGGAGATCCCTGTAAGTTCGTCTTGTGGTCTCGCGGGTCAGCAGAACGCTTCACGCTGCAGGCGTCCTCCGCCAGCATCAAGATGACCTGGGTGGAGACCATCGCCGCCCTGCTGGACGCCCAGAACAACTTCCTGTCAGGTAGCCCAATTTCCCTCAACGGATATGAGGGATTAAATATCTGAGGGATTAAATATCTCTGATTTCAGTTTTTTTCCTGAAAAGCCAAAAAAAAGTCTTAGTTCAAAAACTCTTTTAAAAAAGTTATTGATGTTCAGAGAACATCTTTAAGCCATAAAAACCCTAAATATTTATTTTTATCTCCTTAAAAGGATCCAAAAATCTTAGTTTTTTTATATATTTATTTAACAGGAATGATAAAAAATGTATTCTAGAATCTAAATAAAAAGAAAATCATAAAACTTCCAGAGATTTTCTTATTTTAAATCCCAGTATCTAAAGTTTTTTTCCTCAACTTTTTGAAATATTTGTGGAAATATTAATCTATATTAAACTGCAATAACATGTAAATATAATTCAATAAATCCCAATGTTTTCCTTTTAACCGGAATAGATAACTTTGCTCGGGTTTGGTGTGAAATCAGAAATGTTTGGTACCGTATTTTCACGACCATAAGGCGCACCGGACTAAAAGGCGCAGTCTCAGTTATGTGTCCCATTTCTGTATTTAACACACACATAAGGCGCACCGGACTATAGGGCGTGTTTTTTATATACAGGTACAAGTCCTCTACTACCTTTAAATACCTCTACTGCGTATTTAAAAATACAGCGGGGGCAAAACTGAGTATGACTGTGCTTTATTCATGTATTTATTACAAAGTATTAATCAAACCTGGCAGCTGGCCGTGAGACAGAGACATCGCAGATGACACAGCGCTGTGATCACTCCTAAATTAACTTAAAATCCTGAAACCTGCCGACGGAATATGTTCGCTTTTATTGCCGGTATCCTGGTGCCTGCAGTTTAAATTATTTAGATGAAAAACACCTGCCAGCAGCCGCGGTGAACCCCAGGCTGCCCAGCCTACAGGCTGCTGATGAAGAGATTTCTGCTGTCAGCGCACCGCTGGTATGTGGGGGTCTGAGCGCCTCCGACAGAAATAGATAATCTGGATGAACTGACTGCAATTATTAAGTTTTCAGGTGGACTTTCTCACTTAAAAACATATTAAAACTACTTTATTCCCACTGATCACAGCAAATATAGCTGCAAGATTTAGATTATTTAGATGAAAAAACACCTGCCAGCCACCGCGGTGAAGAGGAGGAGACCCGGCCCGGAGGCTGCTGTTGAATTAAGTTTTCAGGTAGAAAAATAGAGCGGGAGCAAAACTGAGAATGATTGTGCTTTATTCATGTATTTATTACAAAGTATTAATCAAACCCATCAAAGTCATCATCCTCTGTTTCTGAATAAAACAGCTGCGCTAAATCAGACATGCCAGTTTCCCCTTCTTCGCTGTCAGTCACTTTCCGTGCAGCGCAGCTCCTCAGAAATAATGCCGGCTTTTGCGAAAGCTTGAACAACAGAGCCAGCAGACACGTTAGTCCATCTACAATCCATCCGCAAACGGTGGCGTAACTTGCCCGGCGCTGCCTTCTTATCCTGAAACTGTGGTCTCCGTCGGTCATCCATCGCTCCCACGCCGCTTGCAGCCTTACTTTGAACGGCTGCTTCACACCGATGTCGAGCGGTTGAAGCTCCTTTGTCAGACCCCCGGGATAACGGCGAGCACAGCGTTCATTGATTCACCTTTTTTTCACATCGGCTGTGAGATGGGCACGCAGCGATGGTGATGGGTGGAAAAAACCACCTAGTCTTCTCACATACACCTGCCTCAGCCACGCATCCATCCAGCCTTTTCCATTTGCGTTAATATCATATGTCATCAGAGCGCTGTGTCTGTCTCGCTGGCAGCTCCCAGATCAGCTTCTCTGATTGGTTGATGCGGCGCGTCCAGCAGCAAAACTTCCATTTTTCCATCTCGAGCAGCAGAAGCGCGGCGCTTCAGATGCTTAAACGCTCCCGACCTGCTGCACCAAAATGCGCTGCGGGACCTTTTGCTGCACCTATATGCGCGTCAACCATTGACTTTGCATGTAAACTCGCTGCTTCTGCTGCACCTGCTGGGTCCGGTTCACACCGATGTCGAGCAGCGTTAATTTTTTTCCCCATGTTTTTCACATCAGCTGTGAGATGGGCACGCATGGAGTTACATATTAACAGCGATGGTGATGAGTGGAAAAAAAACACCTGGTCTCCTTACATTCAGCCACTCTTTCATCATCTCCTCAATGAGGTGGTCTCAAAAGTCGCAGTTACAACACACATAAGGCGCACCGCACCATAGGGCGCACCGCACATTTTGAGGGAAAAAAAAGACGTTTAAGTGCGCCTTATAGTCGTGAAAATACGGTACTTCCTGATATGTTGATGATGTCATATTGGTGAATATTCTCAGTCATCCAGGTCACAGTCGTTCCAAAAAAAAGTAAAAAACAATCCACTGGACTTTGTTTCCGAGTTGGAGACGTTTCTCTTCCCATCTAGGAAACTTTTTCAATTCAAAATGTCAGAAATATTTCTCAAACCTCCTTAAACATCACTTTTATTTTAACTGCTAAATAATTTCTAATCTCCTGAACTTTCTCAGGTATTTGGAGAAGATTTGGGTTCCAAACTGTTAAACCATTGGTCCGGTTTATTTACTTTGATTTGATAAAACTTTATTTAGTTTTTAGTTAATCAGATCTTAATATAACGTCTCCTCAGATGTTAACATTTGTTAAAAGTCTTTTATTTTGAAAAACTTCTCCTTTTCCTTTGGCTTTACAGTAAATCTCTTATCATATTCATATCATGAAGCATTTTCTCTCTGTTTTTAAGAATGGACCAAAAACAAAGCCTAGTTTTTGTTTGGAAGGGGGGGGGGGTCGTTTGGCTTCTTTGTTAGCCTGCAATACTCCCCCCCCCTATTCAGCCAGGCCAACTATTCCCTCTAATGACCCCCCTTTCAGAGACATAGACAGGTATGGGGCATTGCAGGCTAACAAAGAAGCAAAACGGCCCCCATTCCAAAGGGGGGGACCCGTTCTTCAGGTTCAATTTTCAGGTTTTTTGGTCCACTCTATAGACCCGGGGTTACTAGTTAAAACCAGCCGAGTCTGAATGAGGAAAATCATCAACCAGTAAAGATCTGAAGACATTTTTAATTATAATCCATTAAATAGAGTTAAACACTGAAATAAAAATGCATCCATGTTATACATTGAATTTTGAAATTAAAAATATTTTTCCAGTCCGCTAATCGGTGACCTCTGCTATAAAACCTGGAACTAAACGCTATTTCTGACATTTTGAATTGAAAAAGCCTTCTGGATGGAAGAGAAACGTCTTCAGACTCTGAAACAAAGTTGATTGATTTATAACTGTTTTTGAAATGACGTCATATTCTATTTATGTTTTTCTACAGGAGAAGCTCTGATCCAGTTGATCTACTCTAACGATCATTTCCTTCATATCAAATATCTCTGCTTTAATCTCAGCTCTCCAGTCGCCTATTGAGTACCAGAGGAAAGAGGGCGGGATCTCCGTGACTCGCCCCCTGTCGTCCGGGCGACCACCGTCGGCCCCGCCCACTCCTAACGGCCACGCGGCGCAGCCTCCTCCCGACAGCGAACAGGACGACCAGGTCTGGACGCTTTCCTGCGTTTTCTGTGACCGTTGAGTCAAACTGCCTCTAAAGGCGCCGCTGTCCTTTCAGGAGCTGGTTCTGGTGCTGCAGGACTTCGTGGCGGTTCGGGAGGACGAGATCTCCGTGTTCCGAGGAGAGAAAGTCCAGATCCTGTCGTCCAACCAGCAGGGTCAGAGCCTGGTTTATCGGCCGGCCAACAGCGAGTCGCCGGCGGCGGAGGGCTGGGTGCCACGGAGCGTGCTCAAAACGCACTGACGCGCGTTAATGCAGACTATGACGTCACTATCTGGTTTACGATTTCTACACCGCCGCAGGCCGACAGGGTCACCGGCTCCGAGGGAAACTCAGCGAGAAGCCTGAAGGCGGCCATGCCGCGCGCCTTTCATCCTTATTTCAGCTTTATTTTATTACATCAGTGCAGATAAAAACGGTTTACTTTTCCTCACATGTGCCTTAGTTCTTTAGTTATTAGAATTAATTTAACCTTAAAGAGAGAAAATAATTTATTTTTGCCATTTTTTTCTATATAAACCTGATTGTTGCGTCTGAAGCATCTTGATTTTTATTTTTTGTAAATTAGATTTGGTTCCAGTTATATTTTTTTTTATATTCTTTCTGGATTCCAAACAAAATTTTCCTGAATTCAAAAGTATTTTAGGTTAAAGCGAGTTGTTTTCCCGGATGTTTTAGGTAGAACATGGGATAAAACGCAAAGAAAAGCAGGAAATCTACAGAAGACAGTTAGGGCCACTGAAATATTGAAAAATTTTACTGATTTTTTTATTTTATTTCGGTATGATATGAAAAAAAAGTCAAAATATCGACTTTTTTCTCAGAACTCTGACTCTAATCTCATTATTCTGACTTTTTTTTTAATATTAAACTGAAATAATATTTAAACTTTTTCCGTGGCCCTAATGCTCTTCCGTAGGCGAGCGTTAGCGTCTGTGGGTTTACTGAATCGAAGGCCTTCCGTCGACATCGCCGTCCTTCAGGCTTCACCTTCACTGGGGGGGGGGGCGGATCCCCAAACACCGTTAGCCTCCCTCCCACTTCCTGGTGCTTCAAACTACAGCAAAAACCGTCCAATCAGACGCCGCCCCCAAAGCCGGAGCGACCAATCACCTTCCATCTCTGGGATACCGTCACAAACTGTTTCCTTTCGGGGGGGCTCGCTGGGAGGTGTCGTCATCGCAAACTCCGCCGGGGGTGGGGCTGCAGGAAGCTGCCGTTGCCTGGCAACCGGGGACTGTATCTACAGAAGAAGAGAAGCCTCCAATGGAAGGAGATGTAAAGAGCCGTCAGCCAATCAGAACTGAGCTGTGGCCATGTTTATAGTGTGTATAAAGACTGAGGACTCACACATGCACACACCTCTGCTAGGATGGAGATTATTACCACATAATTATGAGATTTAGATTCTGTTTTCCACCTCAGTAGAGAAAACAAACGAGAGGAGCTGTTTGTCTTAATATCAGTGTGAGAGAGACCGAGTGTGTGTGTGAGAGAGAGAGAGAGAGGGCGTGCTTTTCCACAGAAACTATCGGTGTCCCGCTGTAGCGTAGCCATGACGACGTGTTTACGGTGACGCCGTTTTTAGCGTTGATTTTTGGAGGGTTTTTTTTTAGAGAACCGCCGCCGCCGCCTCTCCGCTCCGGCAGCGATGGCGGGCCTGAGCTTCGGTCGGTTTGGATATTCTGAGATATTCTGATTATGCATCCCCTCCTCTCTGTAAATAGAGCAGACGTCCAGAAAAAGCTACTCCACGCTGCGTGGAGGTCATCTGTCCCTCATCCGTCGGAAACAACCCAGAAGCAGTAACCTTCTCTCCCTCCTCCTTTCTCTCTCTCTACCTCCCTCTGCTGGGGAACATTCTCAGTCTTTCCACAAAAAAGTTAAAAAACAATCCGCCGGACTTTTGTTTCCAAGTTTGCAGACGTTTCTCTTCCCATCCAGGAAGATTTTTCCATTAAAAATGGCAGAATTAGCATTGAGTTAGAAGCTATATAGTATATATTTGTTGGGCTACTGTATTAAGCCTCGAATCAAAGCTATTCCTTCCCGTTTATATAGCCTCTACTTTTGAGTTTGAGGCTATTTAATATTTGATGGGCTACTATATAAAACCTGGAACTAAACGCTATTTCTGACATTTTGAATTGAAAAAGTTTCCTGGATGGAAGAGAAACGTCTGCAAACTTGGAAACAAAGTCCAGTGGATTGATTTTTAACTTTTTTTTGGAACTCCCCCCCCCCTCTCTCCGTCTCTCTCTCTCGGTTTCTCTGGTGCCATTCTCAGACAACACCCCGGTCCTTAAGGAGCTTGGCAGCCTGTTGGTTTTACCGCAGGTCGCCCTGTGAGCAGAGCAGAATGTTTAGCAGGCGGATCGGATTCTTTTCAAGTCTATTTTAACGCAGAGATTAAACCTGTTTTAATGTTAAAAACTGATCAATCATATATATTAGCGCCTGTGATTTTCCTTCAATGTGGCCAACAGGTTCCATTTAACTCATAGGATACTTTCTAGAACATAAAGGGAACTTTTTTGGTGTTTTCCTCCACTAAAATACGTCAACTGACACTTAGAGGTTACTTTTTCAGGGACTTGCAGCTCTGAGAGCTAAGTTACCTCTAATAACTCATCCGTAATTTTTTTGTAGTTCCTGCAGATCACTTTCAACGACTCACAGCTAATATTTATATAGGAAAAAACAATTAGAAGAATGTATTTTCTATTCAGTTTATTTCTATAGCTCCAATTCACATCATGTCATCTCAGGTCACTTTCCAGTTCACCAGATCATCCAGTCAGATTGATTCAAAGTTTTCTATCTAAGGAAAACCAGCTGATTGCATCGACTCATTGACTCTTCAGCAATCCCTCACACTAAGCATGCTTGTAGCGACAGTGGAGAGGAAAAACTCCCTTTGAACAGGAAGAAACCTCCAGCAGAACCAGGCTCAGTGTGAGCGGCCATCTGCTGAGGCCCACTGGGGTTCAAGGAGACAGAAGCAGACATAGAAAAAGAAGCATAGATACAAAGCCAGACTGAAAGTCTTCAAAAAGTTCATTATGGTGGAAGTGATCGCACACTTGTTTGGCAACTACTTTCTCAAGGATTTTAGATCAGAAAGGAAGATTGGATATAGGTCTATAATTGACCAAGCCATCTGGGTCAAGAGACGGTTTCTTAAGCAGAGGTTTAATTCCAGCAACCTTAAAAGCCTTTGGTACATATCCCTGTAACAGAGATAGATTAATCAGTTAGTCACAGTCAGAGAAACAGGACTACACTGGAAAACAGGCCAAGCTCCAACATCTAGAAACAAAGGTGTTGATGGCAGCAGCACAGCTGATATTTCTCTCCAGGATGGAGTCACAGCCAAACAGGAACAGACCAGATGAAGCTACTATGAGAAAAAGCAGAGAGAGCAGAACGTTAGAGATTGAACTAACAGATTCTGCAGAGTGGGAGAATAGAGATAAAGGTTAATCAGCTTCGACCCGCACCTCCACGAAGCCCAATCAGCATCCAGAGTTCATCTTGTCTGCTACCCAAAGATAGCTAAAGCTTTATCAAAGCCTCATTCCTCCTGGACTCGACCGAGAAATAAGTAAAAATATCTTAAATTAAGTGTATTTACCCTTGATTTGAGTAGGTAAATGAGATAGTTTGCCAATGGAATGAGTATTTTTACTCTTAAAATAAGATAATTAGATAACATTCACTTCAAATAAGAGAATGCGAATGTGTTTTCTTATTTTAAATCTAAATTATCTTGTTCCATTGGCAAGATGTCTCTTTTATCTCCTCAATTCAAGAACAAATGCACTTATTTTAAGAAAAAATGACCATTCAAGGTTTTGATTTTTTGCAGTGTGCGTTCCCTGTCTCATCTTAACCGGTCCGGCAGAAGTCCGCCATGTTGAATCTAGTTATGCCAGAGGTTTGTTCCCTATTTGGAGTTTTTCCTCTCCACTGTCGCTTCATGCTTGCTCATCATGGACAGGTTCTTTCAACCTGTGTTATCCAAGCTACCTTCATCCAGCTAATTAAAGGAGGAAAGCTTTTAAGGAGGGATGATAAACCATGTCGGCTGCTTTCAACAGGAAGTTTAGGAAACGGATAAAATACATTAGATTAAAACTGATGACTGTAAATTCAAAAAAATCCTCTTTTGATGCAAAGGTGGAAAATAGACTTGAAAAATCCGACTGTCCAAAGAAAAAAAAGCATCCGGAGTTGATCACATTCCAGCGGCTGCAGCTAGACGACCCCTTTTATGCAACTAGATTTTTTTCTTAGAGCCAAAAAAACTGTTGAATGAACCAACAAACGCTGCGTTTCTAACATCGGACTTTATCACCACTCCAAAATAATTTCAACCTGCTTCAAAAGGTTTAGCGATCAAACTGTAAAAAAAGGAATGACATAAAAAAAACCACGGGTTGATGATGTCATGTGTGATGCACTTCAATGTGGTTCAACGCTGAGTTCAAGTTCTGTAGGAGTTTTTATTTTATCTCAAACGGAAGCTAATGATTTAATCTGAGCTAAAAAAAAAAAAAATCTTATGAGGAAGTGAAGAAGTTTCAGACTGACTCCCACACGGCCTGAACTCTGCCGTCTATTGAGGCCCCGGAACCAACAAGCCCGTTGCCTGTTCAGAATTAGAGAATGACTTTGTGTGTTTTTTATGTCGGTGTCAAGATTGTTGATGCAAAAATATTTAAACAGGAGAGCCCCAAACCAAGACATTTAACGCTAGCTGAACTCGGAGTGCACAGGCAGGGGGCGTTGTAGTGCACTACGAAGGGCACTAGATGGCAGCAGTGCACCCTGAGAGGAGAAGAGCAGTGCACTATGAAGAGTTTAAGATGGAAACCGAAGCCCTTTAAAAGAGTTTAGGACTAAACTAAGGGCTGGTTTTCATTAAACGTTGCACAATATTTAAAGAAACAGAGCGCTAGGTAGCGCCTCCTGGAGGGCGTTAGGTTGAAGATAGCACACGATGAAGGCTGCAGGTCAGGAGGGGAACCCCTGAAAAGCTTTGGGAGGGCGGAGGGTGCTGTTTGAGACCCCGCCTTGGTGCCGCCTGGCAAACTCTACTAACCAATCAAACAGTGTTATTTGTACAGAACTAACAGCTGCTAACCGGCTACTAACAGCTCTCTGTTGTCGTTTGTAATAAACTTCATTTTTCATCCGAAACTTCTCGTCGTCTCCTGTTTGTTTTATTACCTCTGCTTGTAGAACTGATGCAAAAACCAGAAAATGTCTTAAATTAAGTTTATTAGCCTTAATTTGAGCAGGTAAATTAGATTATTTGCTACTGGAATGAGGATTTTTACTCTTTAAATAAGAAAATTAGATAATATTCACTTGAAATAAGACAATATAATTACTTGTTCTTATTTTAAATCTAAATTATCTTGTTTCATTGGCAAAATGTCTCTTTTATCTCTTCAATTCAAGAACAAAGGCACTTATTTTAAGAAAAAATGACTAATCTAACTTTAGTTTTTTTCCAGTGACCTGTGCTGACCAGCTGTGGGGTGGAGAGTAGATGCCCTCCTCCCAGCTCCAACTGGTGACAGACTTCCTTATTTTATCTCTGCACCGTTCTCCCAGTCATGCACTGCAAAAAATTTAAATCTGAATAAGTCTTTTTTTTTTGCAATAAGTGAATTTTCCTTGAATTGAGGAGGTAAAAGAGACATTTTACCAATGGAACAAGAATATTTACATTTAAAATAAGAAAACTCAATTGCATCGTCTTATTTCAAGTGAATATTATCTAATTATCTTATTTTAAGACTAAAGATACTCATTCCATTGGCAAATTATCTTATTTACCTACTGATATTAATGGTGATACACTTAATTTAAGAATTTTTTCTCTCATTTTTAGATGGTTTTTGCAGTGCTGCAAAAAAATTTAAATCAAGATAAGTCAGTTTTTCTTAAAATAAGTGCATTTGTTCTTGGATTGAGGAGTTAAAAGATGAGCTTTGAATGACATATTTCCTACACTGAAAAAATGAAAAATAAGAAAATGCATTTTTTTATTATTATTTTAAGTGTAAAAGATCTTGTTCCTTTGGCAAAATGTCTCTTTTACCGTCATAATTCAAGAACAAATGCACTTATTTTTAAGAAAAAAGGACTTATTTAGATTTTGATTTTTTTTTAAAAGGTAAAAATCTAATTGAAATGCTAAAAAGTAATTTTACAAAGTGAATGATCCTAGTTAACGATTCTATTTAGATTTATAAACTAAAAACTGTCAGTTCCAGTATCAGCATTGATGCCTCTAAGGTTATGTTGGACCAAAATAAAATGTGTTTCTTTCTCTCTGAGCGTTTTACATGAATTTCTTCTACACACTGGAAACAATTGAAAGCTAGATAAGAAGTTTTTTTCTTAAAATAAGGGAATTTTTTCTTGGATTGAGGAGATAAAAGATCAATTTTGCCAATGGAGCAAGACAATTTACATCTAAAATAAGAAAACACAATTGCATTGTCTTATTTCAATTGCATTTTATCTAATTATCTCATTTTAAGAGTAAAAAATACTCATTCCATTGGCAAACTATTTTATTTACCTACTCAAATTAATGGTAAATACACTTCATTTAAGACTTTTTTTTCTCATTTTTAGATGGTTTTTGCAGTACTGCAAAAAATTGAAATCGAGATAAGTCTTTTTTTCTTAAAATAAGTGCATTTGTTCTTGGATTGAGGAGTTAAAAGATGAGCCTTGAATGATATATTTCCTACACTGAAAAAAATGATACAAAAACAAGTAAAATTCCTTAAATCAAGTGTATTTACCCTTAATTTGAGCAGGTTAATGAGATGATTTGCCAATGGAATGAGGATTTTTACTCTTAAAATAAGATATTTAGATAAAATGCTCTTGAAATAATTTTAATTTTATCATTTTAAGTGTAAATGATCTTGTTCCATTGGCAAAATGTCTCTTTTACCTTCATAATTCAAGAACAAATGCACTTATTTTAAGAAAAAATGACTTATTTAGATTTTGATTTTTAAGAAAAAAGGTAAAAATCTAATTGAAATGTTAAAAAGTTATTTAAAAAGTGAATAATCCTCGTTAACAATTAGTATCAGCATTAATGTTGGAACAAAATAAAACGTGTTTCTTTCTTTGAGTGTTTTTCATGAATTTCTTCTACACTGCAAAAAATGATTTAGAAATAAGTAAAAACTTATTAAATCAAGTGTATTTATTCTTAATTTCAGCAGGTAAATAAAACTATTTGCCAATGGAAATAGTATTTTCTACTCTTAAAATAAGATAATAAGATAATATGGACTTGAAATACGATAATACAGTTGTTTATTCTTATTTTAAATGTAAATTGTCTTGTTCCATTGGCAAAGTGTGTTAGTTTCCTCCTCAATGCAAGAAAAAATGCACTTCTTTAAAGAAAAACATACTTATTTAGATTTACATTTTTTGCAGTGTAGAAGCACTTTGGTTATTTTTCTTAATATATTTGGGAAAGTTCTTGTTTTCATTTTTCCATCAAAATATCCTTATTTTTTTTACCTTGCAAAGGTAATAAGTTCTTATCCTGGATTCCAATAAAACTATTGGCTGAAATTTTGATTTTTTGTTTTAAGTATTTCACTTCCTGCTTGAGTCCGCCTGCTTGGCTCTGGGTTAAGGTTGAGTAATCTGTGCGGGGATAAGATCTGACGTGGAGCAGCTTTGAAGCAATAAACCCATTCAGCCAATTCCAGGTGTCAGGTTCACATCCGGACACCAGCAGGAGAAAAACAACTTTAAAACCTCAAAAACCTGCCAAGAAAAGGACGCTTTCCCGAATGCTGGTCGCCGTAGAAACAGATCAGCAGGAGAAACAAAGACATGGAAGCACCAGAATGTAGTTTATCTAATAAAAATGCCGACTAATTTAATGGATGCATCTGGGTCAAGTCAACAGCATTATCTGGTTTTACAGCAGGCCGCCTGTTATTCCTTATTTAGATAAGAGATAAGAGAGAGAGGCTTCATGATGAGGAGCAGATAACTTTTTCACATTGAAGTTCAAAGATCCACCAAAACATCTAATGTTCTTATTTAAATAAAACCATCCATCATGTATAAATACAGCATTTTTAGTCACTTTCTGCTTCTTTTCTCCTCTTTCATCGATATTACAGGTTTTATTGCAGAAAACAGATTCTTAGAGTGAAAATGGGACCAAAGTCCACATCTGCCCCACTTACGTAATGCAGGATTATGTCGACTTGAAGCGAACCACGTAGCCTGAGGAAGGCAGCATAAATGAAGCCGGCTGCCCAGCGCCTGGGTTCCTTTCTTCAGGGGAGATCAAACACAAAACATGCAGTCGATTATTTCACGGAACGGGTTGGAGACTCCAGAGCCTGTGAAGGCAGAAGTTAAAGGTCAGAACAAGTCGGGTTTTAGAGGAGAGCTCCGTCTGAGCTGTCATGCTGGATTTAATCCCTAAGTTCTAAGAGTTTATATGATGTTTATTTAACTATTAAACGGTGAAGTGAAGATTTTAGGCTCCAGCTCAGGTGTTCAGCTGAGGATGGAAGCAGACAGAGCGCTGATGAAGGTACAGCTGCAGGATGCAGGGGGGGAAGGAGATCAGGAGTTGGTCCTCAAACCGTCACCTGAGGTCAGGATGCAGATTCAGGTGTCTGATGGATCCTGATGGATGATGCACTGGAAAAAATCTAAATCTAGATCATTTATTCTTGAATTGAGCAGATAAATGAGACATTTTACCAATGGAACAAGACAATTTACATTTAAAATAAGAAAACACAATTGCAGTGTCTTATTTCAAGTGCATTTGATCTAAATATTTTATTTTAAGAGTAAAAATACTCATTCCATTAGCAAACTATATAGTTTACCTACTGAAATTAAGGACAAATACACTTAATTTAAGACATTTTGACTTATTTTTTAGGTTGTTTTCCAGGGAACAGACCAGATAAAGGTAAAGCAGAGAGATCAGAATGTTAGAGATTGAACTAACAGATTCTGCAGAGTGGGAGAATAGAGATAGAATGAAGCAGAATGATGAAAAAGGGGTCCCTATGTCCTCCAGCAGTCTAAGCCTATAGCAGCATAGCTAGGATAACCTGAGCCCCAAAATTTTTACTTTTACTTATTTCTTATCCTTTTTCAAGTGAACTCTTCACTTTGATGTTATTCTTATATATCTTTCTAAGGCCCACATTTGCACTGCTAAAACAATCTATAAATTAGTAAAAAATTACTTAAATTAAGTTTATTTACCCTTATGTTGAGTAGGTAAATGTGATGATTTGCCAATGGAATGAGGATTTTTACTCTTAAAATAAGATAATTAAAAATATGCACTTGACATAAGACAATGCAATTGTTTTTTTTTCTTATTTTAAATGTAAATTGTTTTGTTCAATTGGCAAAATGTCTCTTAAGTCCTCAATCCAAGAACAAATTACTTATCTAGATTTAGATTTTTTCCAGTGTGCTGTAAATTAAGTTGAAAATAAAAAGTTAAGTCAAGAAAAGAAGGTTAAAAGCTAATTGAAAAATTAAGGTAAAGTTAAAGGGTGAATTAGTCTAGTTAACATTTATTTTTAGGTTTATAAACTAAAAAAATGTAAGTGCCAGTATCAGCATTAATGCCTCTAAGGTTAAGTTGGACCAAAATAAAATCTGTTTCTTTCACTCGTCACAGCAAAAAATGCCCTCTAAAAAAATAAGAAAAAAAATTGTGTTTTAGGTGAAAAATTGCTTATTTTAAGCTAAATAATGCGCCAGTGTAGCACACTGCAAAAATGATCTTTGCTGGTCCTTGGCTGGTCTACCTTCATTTCCTTTTTAAACATCAATCTTTGTACAAAAATGTTCTTTCTGTCATGATTTGTGGACAATAAGATGTAAAGAGAAGCGCCATCTGCTGGTCAGACCCTGTAATTCAGTGAAAGGGTGGAGTCAGAGTAGATAAATATAGCGGCCGGAAGTTGGAGGGGATTTTGCTGGGAGTTGCAGGGAAGTGGGCTGCCATTCGGCTGGGGCGGCCATTTTGAATGGCTGCTACTGTACGGGGAGTCATTTAAGACGCAGATGTAGAAAAAAGATGAGCAAATATCCTCATTTTGGCTGATATCTGACATAAAAACGAGGTCATCACTCCAGGAGGAAATTATTGCACCTGTGGATTCGGTTTTATGAAAAAACAAGAAGTTCAACGTTTCTTTGACTCCAGTCAGCAACAACAACAAGATTCATTAACAATTTCAAGATTAATAAAAAGATATGTGAAAACAGTGTCTCTGACCTTTGACCTGCAGGAAGCGTCCCCTCGTGGCTCCAGGGCACGTTGCTGAGGAACGGCCCCGGGCTTTTCTCAGTGGGAAACTCCGAGTACAACCACTGGTTTGACGGTCTGTCGCTGATTCACAGCTTCACCTTCAGCGGCGGTGAGTCTCCGCCGGGATGCTGTAACCATGGCGGATCGCCGTTTCACTGCAATACTCTATAAATGTCGCCGTTTCAGGGGAGGTGACTTACAGAAGCAAATATCTGAAGAGCGAGACGTATAAGAGGAACATCAAGGCCGACAGGATCGTGGTGTCTGAGTTTGGGACCATGGTTTATCCCGATCCCTGCAAAAACATCTTTGCCAGGTGAACTTCGCCCAGACGAAAAACATCAGAGACGCTGAGAAAACGTTAAAGTCACTTTAACGCGTTCAGATACAAGTCTGCACAGTAACCTTTTATAAATTAATCTGAATCTTTTACCCTTTATAGGGCAAGTTAGTGTTTGTCATCAACTACATCCCCTTTACAAATAGAGCTTAACGGCTTAACTTTATTTATTAGCATGATTTCTTATGCCGCATTTAAAAATGCCGCAGAGGAGCAGCAGTTTTAGTTCTAGTTTCCAAGTCTGTGACAGATTCACCCTCTCATTGTGTTTTCTAACCTCCGTCTTCAGGGCGATGACACATTTCCGCAACATCATCCCGGATTTCACAGACAACAACCTGATCAACATCATCCGTTATGGTAAGGACTACTACGCCTCCTCCGAGGTCAACTACATCAACCAAGTGGACCCAAACTCCCTGGAAACTGTGAGCAGGGTGAGTTTCTCCATCATCCATCGGTAGAAGATCCTCCAACTATGTCATGATGCTGATGTGCATCATTTCTGGGAATCTCCAGGAAAACTACAGGAACCACATAGCTGTAAACCTGGCTACGGCTCACCCTCACTACGACAGAGAAGGGAACACCTTCAACATGGGCACCGCCATTATTGGCCTCGGACGCCCAAAGTATGTCATTTTCAAAGTACCGGGAAATGCTTCAGGTATGTCTTTAAAGTTGTAGGGAAGTCATATTTAAATGTCAAATCATTCTGGCTTAAACATGTATATAAATGTACTTTTTATCAGATCATATTGTCCCAAAATTTAAAACATTTGCATTTAAAAAAAAAATCCTGTCTTAGAAACTGTGTTTTTTTTTTTCCGTTATCTTCTGCAGGCCAGTTAGTTCTACGTCAGCCTGAACACCTAAATTCGGCCAATCATATATCAACGTAACCTGACTCTGCCATATCCATCTGGAAACCTTCCGTTGAAGTAATTTTGGGAAGGGGCGAAAATACTGGTTAGCTGATTGGCCTATGTTGGTGATAGACGGGCCAAATAAACCAATCAGATCAATGAAGCATATGACGTACTAACAGAGCGACGACGAAGAGGAGCCAATTGATAGATCAAACTCTTGCCGAAACCAGTCGGGAGAAGAGCAAAAACATCTTTTCCTCTGAGAAAAGCCTCCAGAGCAGTGTTTTGCTCTTCTTTCAGTGAAGAAATACTCTGAAATTCCGATAAAACTTGCTCGATAGCCACGCTAACGCTAGTTTCTTCGGCTGAAGCCGCCATGTTCTTTAGACTGAACTGTCGCGCTTCTCGTTGCGTCACACCTCAACCCGCCTCAAAGCCAACGCTGATTGGACGTTCGTTTGGTGAACGGCTCCAAATTTTCTTTAACGGAGAGTCTCCAGACTGATCTGCGAGTGAAACCTTGAAAGCTCGCGAGATCAGGATGGTCTCACGAGGCTAATATCAATGGTCATCTGTCAATCAAATGTTTTCGGTCATAGCATCTTGATTCATATGTCGCAGCTAATATACGCAACGGTTGAAACCAGAATCCTTTCCTTTCCCATTGAGTTGCGTCCCAGTGTTCACGGGGATGGACGTCTGTGTCTTCGGCAGGCGTAGAGCTAACAGAACTGGCAGCGTTGCGAGGCAAGGGCTCAAACATGTACGGCTGGAAGCCTTCTACACCAAACCAAGCTTCTGCCGCCCTGGCGTCCTCTTCCACAACATCTTCGTCCCCGCTTTCCTCCTCTAAATAAAAAATGGATGACGGAGGAGACTCATCCACGACCTCCGACACTAAACTCTCCTCCTCTTGCATGTTTCCTCTGTCCATAGCGTTCCTTGACAGCGTCGTTTCTAAGTAACCAATTTAGTGCTACTTGGTCCCAATGGAATTTCCCATTGGGGACCTGCTAGCACTAAGTTGCTAACTGGTTAGCAAGATGCTTCCGACAAACCGGCCACAACCAAACTTGCTTGCGAACCTTCTGCCACAACAATCCCACCCCCTTGATAAATGACCAATCACATTCACTTTATTAACTCGTGTAAAGTCGGGCACCATTCGGGAGAATTCGGAAATGCAACGGATGGAACAGCCGCTTCCCTACGACTTTGACAGTATTGTGTCGGGGGTTTTTTCACCTCCAGAATGTTCACATATTGGACAAAGAAGACAGGTGGTTTGAGAGGGGCGTGAAGGAATTTGCAGTAATTTATCTGGATGACTGAGAATCTTCACCGACACCTCTATGGTTCCATAAATGCAGGAAAGACCATTACTTAATAACAGCGAGCGCATGACGGGTTGATGTTCAACAATAAATCCTCAGCTTCGATTTTAAAGCACGTCAGAGGGGAACATCATCCTGGAAATTAAAGCTCAGTGATAAAGGAACCATAAACAATGCTAGCACGTTTGGATAAGATTCTAGTTTAGATCCAGTTTAGTGATTTATGATGCTGTAATCAGAGATTCGTTTCAGTTTATTTGGCACAGAGGCAAACATGACGAACAGCAGAGATTTTTACTATCAATTATAAACTTTAAATAGCTACAATGTGATCGTTTGATTGTTTGATAGCAGATAAAGTAATGCTTCGCAATCGTGGCAATCAATTGATACTTTGGTCCTTCAAATCAACTCTTTATTATAAAGAAAAAGGAGGCGAGACAGAATAAAAAGTAACATTCTAGTCAAAAATGATCAAATAAAAACTCTGATCAGTCATTAATGCCTAAATGTCTTAAGTAAATATGTTATAATCCTATTTTTCTGTCTTTTTTTGTAGATAAAGACCCCAAAAAGCCTGCGCTGAGAAAAGTCCAGCAGATGTGTTCCATTCCTTTCCGATCCACTCTCTATCCCAGCTACTTCCACAGCTTCGGCATGACTGAGAACTACATTGTGTTTGTGGAGCAGTCCTTCAAACTGGACATCATCAAACTGGCGACGGCTTATTTCAGAGGAGTCAACTGGGGCAGCTGCCTCAAGTTCGATGAGAAAGAAAATGCAAGTCCTAAAAGTCTTAACATATTTTCACAGAACGGGATCGTTATGTTTGAAACACGCAGACGTCGAGTTAGAGAAAATGTTTTGTAGACAATAAATTTGGGGATTTCTTTACTTGTTTGGTAAAGATTTCACTTCACAAGAAACAAACATAACCTGATTGTTGTTCTCCTCTTCTGATATTCCAAAAAAACAATGCAAGTTTGAAGACGTTTCTCTTCCATCCAGGAAGCTTTTTCAATTGAAAATGTCAGAAATAGCGTTTAGTTCCAGGTTTTATCCAGCAGCCCAACAAAGCCTGGTTTTAGTTTAGAAAACATGCAAATAGAAATGGATGAACGGGTCCCCCCCTTTGGAATGGGGGTCGTTTGGGTTCTTTGTTAGCCTGCAATGCCCCATACCTGTCTTTGTCTCTGAAAGGGGGTTGTTAGAGGGAATTGTTGGCCTGGCTGAATAGGCAGGTCTTCTGTTCTCCCATAAAGGGGTTGGGGCAACGATGATAACGGGAAGGAATCAACTCAATTGCTGTGTTGTACATTTTTGGCTTCCTTTACGCCCCTTTCAAACCACCTGTCTTCTTTGTCAAAAATGTGAATATTCTGGAAGTGAAATATAGATTGCAAACGACCCCCATTCCAAAGGGGTGGACCCGTTTGTCCGTATTTGCATGTTTTCTTAGCAAAAACAAGGCTTTGTTGGGCTACCGTTTAAAGCCTCAAACTCTTCTTGACACTATGGAACAACTATGACCTGGATGACTGAGAATCTTCACCAGCATATTCCTCTCCTGATACTTTCAATTTTTCTCTGTATTTCATTATTACCAACATTTAGCTAAAGTAAATCCGATATCTGGGTAACGTTCCGATATTCTCTCGCTGCAGACGTTCTTTCATGTCATCGATATAAAGACGAGGAAAGCAACATCCTTTAAGTACTACACTGATGCTCTGGTGGTCTTCCATCACATCAATGCCTACGAGGAGGACGGCCACGTGGTGTTCGACATCATCACCTACAAGGACAGCAACCTGTACAACATGTTCTACCTTCACAACATGACAGACGAGACGGACAACTTCATCAACGCCAACAAGGAGTTCTCCCCGCCCTTCTGCCAGAGGTTCATCTTGCCTCTCAGCATCCAGAAGGTAAGACTCAGGTCTCAGCGATGGATGAAAGCCTCGGTTCATTCCGTCATTGTCGCTTCAACGCGTTACAGGATTCCCCCAAAGGAACCAACCTCGTGACTTTGACGGACGCGACAGCGCAGGCGGTGATGCAGGACGACGGCTCCATCTACTGCAAACCTGACACCATCTTTAAAGGTTGGTCAGATACACTTAATGATGTGTAAGAAAACCACGATATCCAGCAAATCTAATGATTGAGACATTTTCCCAGGAATGGAGCTGCCAGGGATTAATTACAACTTCAACGCCAGAAAGTACAGATACTTCTATGGCTCCAGGCTGGAGTGGTCTCCTCATCCTAACAAGGTATGTCAATGATTGTTGGTGATTATGTGGATCTAATTTTTTATGGTATATATATTATTTATGGTGTATTTATAGTGTCTTGGTAGTGTGAAGATTTAACAGGACCTAAATGCAAACACTGAAGATGAAGTGGTTTCTTGCAATTTAATAAGAAAAAGGAGTAACAGAAGCAAAAGTCCAAAAACATATATGTCATATATCATTATGTTACAACTTTATTATCTTTATTCTATTTGGTTGACATGATGCAGAATAATGATTCGTTCACACTGCAGGCCTTGATGCTCAATTCCGATGTTTTTGTGAAATCTGATTTTTTTCGCGTTGACGTTCATATTTCCAAATATATGCGACTTGTATTGTGATCTCCTGTGTGAACTGCAGTCATACAACGCAAGTGTCCCGCATGCGCAGTAGACGACGCAATGACGTCACAGGCCAGCATGCTCTGTGTTAACGGAAGTAAACATGGATGGCAGTGCCGGCGCGCATTTAGGGATTTTTTCCAACCATAAAAACAATCTTTTCAATATGTTCAAACTTAAATACTGCTCTCCGCATCATCGTCTGCTATGGTTGGTGTTTTTCATGCCGCTTCTGCGTAGCAAGACGCAGAATAGTGACCTTTGTCGGGTATTAATGACGTTCAGGTCGGATGAGTCCGACCTGGCCGTTCAGACACAGGTCGCATTTGAAAAGATCGGATTCAGGACCACAGAGCCATGTGGCCTGGGACGCATTGGAAAAAAATCGGATCTGATTTGTTCAGCTGAAATAAAAAGATCGGATCCAGGTCGCATATGGGCAAAAAAAATCAGATTTAGGTCACTTCAGGCTGCGATTTTAACGTAGCCTAAATGTAAAACAATGAGACATGCCTCTTATCAAGCATGTGTTTATTACTGCTATTTAATGAAGACCTATTATATTCGATAAGTTTGTCGATCAGGTTCAGTCTTCTTACACTGATGGCTTAAAATGATCCAATAGATCGCCAAGGTCGACATCGTCACCAGAACGCATATCGAGTGGCAGCAGGAGAACTGCTACCCTTCAGAGCCCGCGTTTGTGGCGTCTCCAGGAGCCGTGGAGGAAGACGATGGTGAGGGCAAACTGAACGAACCAGACGGATTATTGTTATCACCACCTGCTTTTCTCTTTCTGATCACGGCTTCTTTGTCTAGGAGTCATTCTGTCTTCCGTCGTGTCTTCGGATCCGAACGTTTCACCTTTTCTGCTCGTCCTAAATGCCAGGACCTTTGAGGAGATCGCCCGGGCCTCCGTCCCAGTCCCCGTCCACATGGACCTTCACGGGATGTTCATTCCCAGCACAGGAAGCCAAGAAAGCAGTTAGAATGATTATTCCTTTTAAGGATATACTACATCATGAGGAACGCAGAGACCGTGAGGTTGCCTTGGAAATGAAAACGGGAAACAAACTGGAAAGTTTTCATTGTCATCGGACGTGAATCCATGTTTCAAAGTCCGGTCAGTACTTTAAGTACATCCTGTTCAATAAATGATCAGTGTTTTTAATTCAGAGTAATTTTCATGTGAATGTGCTTTACTGGAGGCATCCATGTTTGTCAAAGAACACTACTGCCACCTACTGGTTAGTGACGTCACGGTGCGGTATCGGCTGTTGATCAAGTCCCAGTGCTGTATCTGGTGTTTGTCACAACGCGCTATTATCCAAGTCATCTTGAAAACATTCTTCTTCCAAATGTTGGCTACATATTACGGGTTTTTTCTCTGGCCAGAAGTTCGATGGCAAATCCTCCCTCTTCAAGTTGGCGATCCAACGACCAACCCGTCCGTGGAGCATCAGGAATCAGAAAGGTGGAATAACTCTTTTTTTCACTTTTACCCGATGTATTCCAGCATCCAGCTGCCATGCACATGGGCTTTGTCAGTTTCACTATAGCTCTGGTGAATTTCAATGGTGAAGTCCTCTGGAAATCTTCAATAATTGTTGTTGATTGCAGATGTGTCTAGTAGTTCCCATTGATTTAGCTTGGAAAGCGGGGAGAATGGCGCTAGGCTTACCGCACCGTGACGTCACTGCTGGAAGATGGCAGGAGGGAGGGGCTACTATATATGGGCAAAAATGGCCGCTCCCAGACTCAGTGATTGCGATTAAAATTATATTGTTTTTTTTTAGTGATTAACGCTACATAATTAAATCAGTATTAGTTTTTGTCATGGTTTTGTTTCTGGTTTAGTTTTATTTTGATTGTTCAGTTTCACTTTGATCCATGTTTTTATTTGTTTTTTAGTTTTATTGGTTTAATTCCTATTTTGTGTTTTTTTTTCCTGATGTATTTAAGTTCTTAGGCATTTCTTGATTGCCCTCTTGTGCTGGTCTTCTTTCCCCTAGCTCCCTTCTAGACTCCTCTGTTGCCACCTGCTCCCAATCAGCTCATTAGTCCTCTCTGTGTTCAGTCTCCCGTATATACTCTCCCTGTGCAGTTCCTCAGGGCTGATTCCTCATCTTTTCCTGGCTCTGCATCTATGTTTTCCCTGATGTCTCCAAGCTTCTAGTTTTTCTGTCTTTGTTATGTTGGATTTTTTCCTGCCTTGAGTGCTTCATTCATCATCATCCTCTGCCTCCCCACCTCTGCATTTGGGTCCACAAAACCTCAACCCAACCCTGACAGTTTTAGGTATAAATAATGATCCATTGATTATTCCGTGCTGACCGGACTTTTCCTTTAAAACCTGTTCCTAACGAGCATCAGGAAGAGCAGATGGTCCTTAAGGTTTAGTGTCCTGCAGCTTTTAGATGATTTCACAGCTGAATGAAGTGGCTGAACTTTCTCCTCAACATGCAGTCAAGTCCTCCAGAGTCCGAATGACCTGATTTTTGGACTCAGTTGTCTTAAAGCAGAGACGCAACTAAAAGGAGCAGGAAACCAAAGTACAAGCTCATTTTCATAAATGATCAAAGCTACTATTTTAACTGATGATGAGAAAAATGAATTGCGAAGGTTAAAATATGATAGTTTTTAATGTTTTTATCATCTTTAAAACACTTTTTTTCTTTTCTTAAACGTATTTATCACCAGCATTAACACTTTAGAGCCCGAACCATGAAATAATTGACAGAAAATATTTTTTTCTAATTTTGAACTTAGAACTATAACTTCCTGAAAAATAACAGTTAAATTAGATCATATTTTGCATCAATTTTGATTCATTCCAACTATTCACTATAGGTGTCTGTCTGTGTGAATCAGGGTTTGATGATGCACTGATGATGCAGATGTCTCAACCGCTCATTTTTCAGATTTGATACGCTTGCCTTAAAAGGTTAATTAAAAACGAAATGACCTTATTTAGCTTTCTGCTATAAATATAATTTATTTTGTATTTATGTTGATATTTTCTATGCTTCCAAATTCTGTTTTTGCTGGTTCTTTATATTTTAAGCTTTGTGTATGCTTCTGTTTGATGCTCTGCCTAACTTAAAATAAACAAACGTCCCGTAGCTCACTGTGTGCTCAGTGTGTGAAATTATTTCAAGGCAACCAGGGATAAATCGATGTTAAAGCCAAAGTCCTGCAGAGCCGGAGGGAGAATAATGAGGAACAGGAAGCCAGGTGGGCTGTGAGTAAAACACCTGGGGGGGAAAGTTTAGGCTTGCAAAAGCAGACTGAGTGTCGTGTTTTAATGAGCTTCTGCTAATCTGAGCCATGTTTCAATTAAATGCCGTAATACAAATGAGTGAAGAGCAAAAAACGTGTAGAGATTGTAAACAGATGAGCCTAAATCCAACAAACATTGCCTTAGACCTAGTTATTATCCATGTTTAATTGTACAGATCACATTGCATAAGGTTTAAACTGTTTGTGATTCACTGCAGTAGCAACCGATGATAACAAGGACTAAACATGTGCAACACAAAGTTGCAACATCTATAATCGCTTTATATGCCGCAACCAGTTTCCAGCATTAACCTTTAATTTAACTCATTCAGTGTAGTCATGACATGTGGCGTCCTGCTGGATTCAGCTGCTCATGAGCACTGGTTGTACAGGGGTGAAGTGAAGCCACCGGCCGCCATATTGGTACTCCCTAGTCAGACCGGTCCCAACTTTAACAATATGTATGCTACGGCATCGAATAACGATGTTCTCATTTCAAGGTGATTAATGCTGCTGCACGTCTTCTAACTGGCACACGCAAGTACGAGCACATTTCACCTATTTTAGCTTCACTCCCACTGGTTGCCCGTCCATCTTAGGATTCATTTTAAAATTCTTTTATTTACTATTAAAGCCTTGAATGGCCTTGCCCCAATTTACCTCTCTGAGCTGCTGCACCCCTACACTCCCAACCGATCTCTCAGGTCAGCTGATCAGCTGGTCCTGACAGTGCCTAAAGCAAGGCTTAAGCTCCGAGGGGATCGAGCGTTTTCTGTTGCAGCTCCAAAACTTTGGAATGGATTGCCGCTGCACAGGCGGCAATCCATTCTGTCTCATTTTAAAACTCTTCTTAAAACCCACCTCTTTTCTTTGGCTTTTGACACCATGTAGAGTGTTGATTTAATGTACATACATGCATATTTTTATCCTGTGCGGGGGCAGTGCTTTTATTTTATTTAATTTACTTTTATTTATTTTATCTTTTTTGTGCAGCACTTTGGAAACCTTGTGTTTATTTAAATCATGCTATATAAATAAAGTGGATTGGATTGGACTTAAGACTTTTAAAATAAAGATAAATTCATCACTTTGACACAGACTGGCTGTTTCATAGCATCAGTAGATTAACTTTAACTTAGAATAAATAAATTGGCCCATTACATTGCAGAGTCATTATGAAGTCAATGAAGTCTATAAATCAGGTAATATAACATATTATACAATCCATCACAATAAAATTAATGTGTTAATGGAGCAGAATAATACAGATGAGCCAGAAGCGCTAAATTGAGGATTTACAAGGAATATAAATGTATTGATGACATTGTTATGGTAATTACATCTTAAATATAACAAGATTTCACATTAAGACTGAATTACAAGTACATGTCTGCTAATGCTGTAGTATTTTCCTATTTGCAAATTGTGCAGGCAAAAAAAAAGAAATATATATATATATATATATATATATATAATCTCTAGATGATAATAATAATAATAATAAATTCTGACTTTTTTCATTTAGTGGGGGAACAATAATGAACACAGTCAGATAAACTGAACATTTTGGCTGCAGCAGGCGGGCTAATGTTAGCCCTGGCTGTGAGGTCCGCTGGTTGCTGCGGTCCATTCTACTTCAGTCATTTTTTTAAATTACGCATTAAATCGGTAAATGGGCCATATAGTGAAGCTTAAAGAATAATATTCTCACCTCAAATGACCTTAAAACATACTTTTATTAAACAACAGCAACAGAAAAGAGAATCTTTAAATTAACACTCTGAGCTCTATGAGCGCTCCATTGAAAGGAGACGGAGCCAATCAGCTGCTTCTTCAGGAGCCAAAAACTAAAGGGAAGCTTAGGGGGCGTCATGCTTTCTCTGTGGCAGCTGGACGACCTTCCATTGCAAATTAAAGTCGTAGGGAAGCGGCTGTTCCAACCGTTGCAGTTCGGAATTCTCCCGAGTGGTGCCCAACTTTACACGAGTGAATAAAGTGAATGTGATTGGTCGATTATCAAGGGGGCGGGATTGTTGTGGCGGAAGGTTCGCAAGCATTTTGGTTGTGGCCGGTTTGTGGGAAGCATCTTGCTAACCAGTTAGCATCTTAGTGCTAGCAGGTTCCCAATGGGAAATTCCATTGGGACCAAGTAGCACTAAATTGCTGACTTAGAAACGACGCTGTCAAGGAACGCTATGGACAGCGGAAACACGCAAGAGGAGGAGAGTTTAGTGTCGGAGGTCGTGGATGAGTCTCCTCCGTCATCCATTTTTTATTTAGAGGAGGAAAGCGGGGATGAAGATGTTGTGGAAGAGGACGCCAGGGCGGCAGAAGCTTGGTTTGGTGTAGAAGGCTTCCAGCCGTACATGTTTGAGCCCTTGCCTCGCAACGCTGCCAGTTCTGTTAGCTCTACGCCTGCCGAAGACACAGACGTCCATCCCCGTGAACACTGGGACGCAACTCAATGGGAAAGGAAAGGATTCTGATTTCAACCGTTGCGTATATTAGCTGCGACACATGAATCAAGATGCTATGACCGAAAACATTTGATTGACAGATGACCGTTGATATATGATTGGCCGAATTTAGGTGTTCAGGCTGACGGAGAACTAACTGGCCTGCAGAAGATAAGGGAAAAAACACAGATTTTAGACAGGTTTTTTTTTTTTCATAGAAATTTTTTTACTTTTGGGACAATATCCTCTGATAAAGAGAAAATGTATATACATGTTTAAGCCAGAATGATTTGACATTTAAAGATGACTTCCCTACGACTTTAAATGTTCTACATCTTTGTCTGATCTCTTTGCCTTTGCTTTCTAAACTGTGTGAGATGTTGGTTTTAGTCTGTGAAACATTATTTTAAATTACTTTTATTTTATTATAAATTTCATAGTGCTGATTTTAATTTAGTCTTTTATTTTATGTTTTGTTTTTGTGTGATGGTGTTATTTTGTTTCACTGGTCCTTTGAGAAATTTTAAAGTGCTTTATAAATAAAGTTGGATTGGATAAATGGCTGCCTGTTACTGAAAGGCCGATTGGAGTAACTGGTTAAACTGCGACAATCAGCCTGAGCAATGATCCAAAAAAACAAAAATAAAGATGAATAAAACATTTAAGATGGGGGAGTCTCCTCCATGAGCCACCAGTAGGGGGAGCCCAAGCAGCTTTAAATAAGGAATGAAACCAAGAGTTGAATTATAAAGAAATTTATCAGCAGAAGTCTTAAACAACTGATTTCATAAATCACTACTCTTGGTTCATGTCCAGTTTAGACAGATATGAAATCAGCGATTGTGTAAATGCTCAGTCATCTGCGTCATGGCAACAACAAACAGGCTTTAATTGGATCCAAAGTTGTATTTAAAACCAGAAAACCCCCCTAAGAGCGCGGACCTCCTCCAAGCAGCAAATTCAGCCCCTTATTGTTACAGATGCAGCTAAAACTCACACAATCTGGATCATTGCCAAATGCTAATGAAATGTTCCTTGGCGTGAGGTTTAACTTAAGTAACAATCTTTTCAAATCATTTGTTTCTAAATAGGGCCCAGTGTGTGAGGCTGCAGCCTCTGGTGTTTGTTCTGTTCTCACCTCCTTTGTTCACTCTGCAAAGCATGGCTCCCCTTTCCTGTGTTTCTGTCTTCAGTTTAATACTTCCTGACTTTTTGAGTCTGATACTGAGGCTGCCAATACTCACTGCTGCCACCCTCTGGTTCAGGGGGGAACGGCTTTTTTGCCAAATAATGTTAAAGAATCCTTCATGAAATTACTTCCTCCAGTTTATGATGTGGATCATCAGCAACATTTAGAAGATTGTTCCTCGGATTGAGGAGCAACTTTGGTAAAAAAAATATCATTTAGCAGTTATGCTGCTATAGGCTTAGACTGCTGGAGGACATAGGAACCCCTTTTTCATCATTCTGCTTCATTCTATCTCTATTCTCCCACTCTGCAGAATCTGTTAGTTCAATCTCTAACGTTCTGCTCTCTCTGCTTTTTCTCATAGTAGCTTCATCTGGTCTGTTCCTGTTTGGCTGTGACTCCATCCTGGAGAGAAATATCAGCTGTGCTGCTGCCATCAACACCTTTGTTTCTAGATGTTGGAGCTTGGCCTGTTTTCCAGTGTAGTCCTGTTTCTCTGACTGTGACTAACTGGATGTGCTCTCTTCATCCTCTGACATGGGAGCTGGCTCGGAGCTCGTCTGCCTGGCTGTGTGTTTCCTGGACGGGGCCGCCTGTGGAGCTGGTTGACAGTTGCCTTTTGTATCTATGCTTCTTTTTCTATGTCTGCTTCTGTCTCCTTGAACCCCAGTGGGCCTCAGCAGATGGCCGCTCACACTGAGCCTGATTCTGCTGGAGGTTTCTTCCTGTTCAAAGGGAGTTTTTCCTCTCCACTGTCGCTACAAGCATGCTTAGTGTGAGGGATTGCTGAAGAGTCAATGAGTCGATGCAATCAGCTGGTTTTCCTTAGATAGAAAACTTTGAATCAATCTGACTGGATGATCTGGTGAACTGGAAAGTGACCTGAGATGACATGATGTGAATTGGAGCTATAGAAATACACTGAATAGAATAGAATTTTTCTGGTTTGGTAAAACACCACACACCCACAATTAGGAAATCTCTTTCAAATAAATATTTTTCCCATGAACAGCCAGTCTTCAAACGGAGTCAGTCATTTTTTTGTCCTCAGCATTTTAGTCATCCTAATTTTTCCTAACAGGGGATTAAAAATTGCTGCAGGAGCCAAAAGGTTTCAGAGGAAGCTCAGAGGAGCCTTCTCCTCGTTTATGGAACAACCTCCTGCTGCACATTGGGAGGATCCTTCACTACCAAATTTTAAAACAGGCTCAAAACGTATCTTTATTCGCTGGCTTTTAACACTGGCAGGACTTAGTTGTTGTGACCTTGATTATTAAGCTAAAACAAATTTTTATTATTGCCTTTTTTATATTTTTATGCTGTATTTTATCGTTTTGTATTTTATTATTTTTAACTATGTTCAGCACTTTCTCTTGTATTGTGGGAATTGAATGACATGACAAATAGACACAGCGCCACCACATGGAGTTTATGCTAGAGAAGACAAACAAACGTAACTGTACATTGAAAAAGTATTCAGACTTTTGAATAATACTTTATTTCACAATTAATAAAACCAGAAAATAATAAATCTAAATAGACAGTTTGGAAGTTTTATTCAAAATATCTTTACAGCAGTTTTTTTTTAACCCTTTATAAATAAAACATCATTTAATGATCAGACTGACACCTCAGTAGTTCAGAGCTGATGCTTCTATCAGCCTACAGCTGATTTTCCTTTAACTACTTTGGGACAGAAGTTCCTGCGCTGTTCGTCGGATGGCACATCCATGCCATATGCCATATGTAAGGTAGCTTTGGTGGATAATTAGAGGCAACCTGCCCAACTCAGACACCAATGGAAATTATACAGAACTGACAAAGATGTGAATAGTTTGGGAGGAACAGGAACACAAATGATGGAATTAGGCGACTTTTCCGTCTCTGATGGTCCCTGCTGATGCTATTTGATTAAATGAAGAGCAGAAGGTGATTAAAACCAGAGAGCTGGTCTCTTAAACAGACATGGCTATGACTAGATGCTAACATGTTTGTTAGCTGTCAGAATTCAGAGAAAAAAGTCAGAATTCTGACGTTTTTCCCATATTAAACTGAAATAATATTTAAAAATCAGTTCACTTTTTTTTTTATTGGCCCTAATCCTCTACTGTACAACTACATGAAAGGTTAAAAGAAGTAATAAAAAGAGAGCTGCAGTTCTGTGTTTTGGCCACAGGTGGCAGTATCATTAGAAAACTCTGTCATACCTCTTTAATGTAAATTCTCATAGATGCATACAAATTCAGATTAAAAACCTGTGGAAGTTTAATTCAGATTACATATTCAGTGTTCACATGAACAAACAAAATAATCTCATTCAATAAAATATATGCATGAAAAAAACAGAAAAAATAAAAATCAGTAAATGAAACCATCATCATGACTAAGGACAACTTTCATGTTACTGTTGATTCCCCATCTGTGGATCATCATGGCAAAGCAAATAGACCTCTTTCTACAGATTATAACCTCCATCTGCAGAGAGAACAGAAGAATATTTGGGTGTCAGGAAGGGATGCATGATGCAGCGGTGAATTCAGTCCTGTTCAGAATACAGAAAACTGATGGCGAGATGGAGCGGGGACTATGGAATCAGAAAGGGGTCAAAATGTTTGTAAACTTAAATCTTAGTTGAAACTGAGAAAAAAAACTGAAACTGAAAAAATAGAACTATCATGTTTACTGTCAAATATTTTAACTTAAAATGTGAGACACTAAAAAAGCAAACATAGAATAATAAGAATGCTGCAAGCTGTCAATCAAGTTTCCCCGCCCACAACCGTCTGATTGGGGTGAAAATCTGAATGTGAAAAAAAAACAGATTTGAAAGTGTAAAAATAAAATCCTGAAACAGAAAAGAGAATTTGAAACTATAAAGGAAAAAAAAAGAAACTGAAAGGGTTTTGAATGTGAAAATCTAAAATGTAAAACTACAATAAAGAAAATAAAAAGGGGAATTAAAATACTAGGAATTATGAGTTCTTTCAACCTGAGGGGAAGAATTTAGATTGTATTCTTATTAGTTTTTTTTTTTTTTTTTTAGTTTCTCAGATTATAAGGTAAAAATTTGACATTCAATATCAATTTATATTTTCTCTTTTTCAACTTTGATTTTTTTCAGTTTCAACTAAGATTTATAAGTTTACAGACATTTTGACCCCTTTCTGACTCCATAGGGACATAATATCCTTATTATATATATTGTGTGAAATAGTGTTCTATCAAACTGGTCCTATAGTCACTCTATTACAGATGGAGTAATGTAACTAAAGTAATTTCCCTCTGGGATTATTGAAGTATTTCTGATTCCTGGTTGATGGGACAGGTGTTGTGAATGAAACGGTGCCCAGCTTGAAAGAGCTCCTGTGTGTCGCTGAATGTGAGCATTGATGACTGAAAGACATCTTCTGCCTCCATTTATTTGTTTGCTACAGTGTGTTAAATTCATGTTAATGTGGATTTAAAGACATTTCAATTAGTGAAAAAAATTGCACGAGGGAATAAAAAAAAAAAAAAAGTCTGATCAAACAAGAATTTTGCGACCCCCACATGCAGTACCGCCGTGGACCCTCTAGGGGTTGTGGACACCCTGTTGAAGACTTCCGGTCTAGGGCAACATGAAAGCCTCTAAATCTCTCATTTAGCAACTCAAATTAAGGTAAATAGACTTATTTTAAGACATTTTTACTTATTTCTAGAGAATTTTTCCAGTGCAGTCTTAGATCAAATTAGATTCTGCACTGAAAAAATGAGTAAAAATGAAAATGAGTAAAAGCTGTCTTAAATTAAGTGTATTTCCCCTAAATTGAGTAGAAACATAAGATGATTTGCCAGTGGAATGAGCATTTTACCCTTAAAACAAGATAATTAGATAATATGCTCCATTCAAGAACAAATACACTTATTTTAAGAAAAAAAGGTTTAGATTTACATTTTTTGCAGTGTCTCACTTCCTCTTCAATTCAAGAACAAATGCACTTATTTTCAGAAAAAAATTACTTAAGATGAATTTTTTTTTTTTGCAGTGTGACTGTGGAACACTGTTTCTTTATATCTTTAAACTTTGATCCAGATTAATCAAGATGAGATAAGCACAACAACAACAGCAGCAACCATCTGCAAAACTAAAAAACTTCCAACTGATGGGACTGGAATATTTCTTAGTACAGCTCTGCTTAGACCTACTGGACGTAGTGAAACCATCTACTGACCTCAGAGTCTCCAGTTTGGATCCTGAACTCTTCACAAGCTTCAACAGCGGCTTCACATCTGGATCTTTTAACAAGTTCTCACTTATGTCCAATTCTGTCAGATGGGAGGGGTTGGACTTCAGAGCCGAGGCCAAAGAAGCACAGCTGACCTCGGTCAGCCCGCAGTCCTTAATGCTATTTAACCAACGGAAAATTTGTCAATGCATTTTGTTTTCAAAGTAAACCATTAGAAAAAGCTTTATTATTACTGATTATAAAACTAAAAACATTGAAACACTGCAGAAATGATCTACAAATATGTAAAAAACATCTTAAATGAAGTGTATTTATCCTTAATTTGAGTGGGTATAAAAGATGATTTGCCAACGGAATGAGTATTTTTACTATAAGATAATTAGATAAAATACACTTGAAATAAGTGCATGCAATTGTGTTTTCTTATTTTAATTGTCAAGAACAAATGAACTTATTTTAAGAAATAATTACTAGCGAAGATTTCCATTTTTTGCAGTGTAGCAATTTAGTCATAATCTAATGTTTAGATGACATTAAAAATCTAGATGAAACTGTGGCCTCTGACCTCAGAGACTCCATTTTGCAGCAGGGACTCTCTAGAAGCCCACAGAGCGCCTTCACACCGGTGTCCTTCAGTATGTAGTTCCAGCTCAGGTTCAGTTCTTTCAGGTGGGAGGGGTTGGACTTCAGCGCTGAGGCCAGAGAAGCACAGCTGACCTCTGTCAAACTGCAGCCCCATAATCTGAATAAAGAATACAGCATGTGAGCCGAAACAGGATGCTGCTTTAAAAAAGCACAGCTTATAGCACTTGAATTAACATTAATGGCAACATCTTGGTTCAATCAAGACCAGGCATGCTTTCATAATCACAAAGTAAAGAGAATAATTAGGGGGAGTATAAACTTCAGCAAAATAATCAGCATGAATCAAATGTTAAACTTTATACAGCCGTAAAAACAGGATATATTACTACACTGGAAAAACGATCTAGAAATAAGTAAAAAATTTTTGAAATTAAGTGTATTTACCCTTAATTTCAGTAGGTAAATGATATAGTTTGCCAATGGAATGAGTGTCTTTACTCTAAAAATAAGATAATTAGATAAAATGTACTTGAAATGAGACAATGCAATTGTGTTTTCTTATTTTAAATGTAAATTCTCTTGTTCCATTGGCAAAGTGTCTAATTATCTGCTCGATTTGGTTACAATGTACTTATTTTAAGCAAAAAAAGGCTTAGATTTACATTTTTTGCAGTGACTGCGCTGCAAAAACTGTCTAATAAGTAAAAATGTGTTAAATTAAGTGTATTTACCCTTAATCTGAGCAGGTAAATAAGACAATCTGCCAATAGAATTAGTATTTTTACCTTAAAATAAGATAATTAGATGAAATACACTTGAAATAAGACAATGCAATTGCTTTTTCTTATTTTAAGTGTACATTGTCTTGTTCCATTGTCAAAGTGTCTGTTTTACCTCCGCAAACCAAGAACAAATGCACTTATTTTAAGAAAAAATGACTTATCCAGATTTTGATTTTTTTCACAGTGTGATATCTTGTGTTTGAGAATATTTGTACTTTAAATCATTGCAGAGCCCTATATCACTGTTTTAGCATTAAGTGGATACACTGGAAAAATTTAAATCTAGATAAGTCATTTTTCCTTAAAATAAGTGCATTTCTTCTTGGATTGAGGAGATAAAAGAGACATTTTGCCAATGGAACAAGACAATTTACATTTAACATAAGAAAACACAAATGGATTGTCTTATTTCAAGTGCATTTTATCTAATTATCTTATTTTAAGAGTAAAAATACTAATTCCATTGGCAAACTATCCCACTTATGATTTTTCCAGTGAGAGGCTCATATTCCATTTTTTTAACTATGTTCACCCTAAACCTAATTCCCAGTCATCCTAATGCTGTCATGCACTGCGAAAAATAGATAAATAAGTAAAAATCTCATAAATTAAAAGTATTTACCCTTAATTTTAGCAGATAAATGAGATGATTTGCCAATGGAATGAGTATTTTTTGCTCTTAAAACAAGATTATTAGATAATATGAAATCAAAACAAGACAATGCATTTTTTTCCTTAAATGTCTTGCTCCATTGGCAAAATGTCTGACTTACCTCCTCAATTTAAGAAAAAAATGCACTAATTTTGAGAATTTTTTGCAGTGTGTTTTTACCTCCCATTAGGTAAAAATTAATTCACCTAGAAAACCAAAGATTGAAATAATAGCTCTAAATGTCAATCAGTATATTATACCGTATATGTAGTCTATAGTCAAATCAACCTTTCTTTTAATCTCAGCACAAACTAAAACATGGTGTCTGACCTCAGAGTCTTTATTCTGCAGCAGGGACTCTCCAGAAAACTGCAGAGCTCCTTCACTCCAGCATCTTTCAGGCTGTTCTCCCCCAGGTTCAGGTGGGTGAGGTGGGAGGGGTTGGACCTCAGGGCTGAGACCAGATATGTGCAGCTGGTCTCTGTCAAACTGCAGAGCTCCAACCTGAATGAAACATAAAGCATAAGAGACTGGAAGCGGACACCTTTCAGACTAAAACTATAATTAAAACAATGCATTGTTTAAAAAGGGTATAGACCAGCTCTATACCCTCCATTTGTGGGAGTTCTGCCAACCAGTCCACATGTGTTTTGTGGATCTGGAGAAGGCTTTCATCCATGTCCCTCATGGTGCCCTGTGGGGGGTGCTCCAGGAGTCTGGGGTCCCCTGTTAAGGCCCGTCCATTTTCTGTATGACCGCAGTACACTGCAAAAAATAGAAATCTCAATAAGTTATTTTTTCTTAAAATAAGTGTGTTTTTCCTTGATTTGAGGAGGTAAGTAAGACACTTTGCCAATGGAACAAGACAATTTCCTTTTAAAATAAGAAAAAACTATTTTATCCTCTTATTTCAAGTAAATATTATCTAACTATCTTATTTTAAGAGTAAAAATACTCATTCCATTGGCAAATCATCTTATTTATCTACTCAAATTAAGGCTAAATATACTTAATTTAAGCCATTTTTTACTTATTTCTGGATTGTTTTTGCAGTGTAGAAACTTGGTTCGCATTGCCGGCAGTAAGCAGGGTTTTGTCGTACAATGTGAGCTGTAACTGCATGCAACGATTTGAAAAAAATCGCACATTGTATGCCCGGCTTTACCGATGGATCTACTGTCCCACCCTCACCTATGGTCACCAGATCTGGGTAAAGACCGAAAGGACAAGATTGCGAATACAAGCGGGAGAAATGAGTTTCCCTTGCAGGATGGCTGGCCGCACACTTCAAGATGGGGTGAGGAGCTCAGCTACCCGGGAAGAGTTCGGAATAATCGCTGCTCCTTCACGTCGAAAGGAGCCAGCTGAGGAGGCTCGAGGATCTGTTCCGGATGCCTCCTGGTCACCTCCCTCTGGAGGTGCATGTCCCATTGAGAGGAGGCCTGGTGAAAGGCCCAGGACACGCTGGAGGGACCTGGTGTCACCTTGGGGAGCCGCTGGAGGAGGAGTGTGGGGATCGGGAAGTCTGGGCATTTCTGTTTAGACTGCTGCCTCTATGACGCGGCCCCAGATAAAGAGGAAGAAAATAGATGGATGGATGGCATTGTTTAAAAAACAAAACATTTAAAGTGTAACTTAAATTGATCTAATAACAATTTTTGAAAAATGCCACTAAAGTGGTTGTTGCTATGAAACACTGCAGAGTTGGAAGTAGCATCTGGATAAGTGGTGAGTGTAAAGGCCAGAACACAACGAATCTCATTTTCCATCCTATCAAACAGAAAATTGTGCCTTATAGGTTGTTGCATTTAACGCTGATTAAAAGTCAATGGGGATGATTTCCAGCAGGGGGCAGCGTAGCTCCGACTGAGATAGAGCCCAAGTCTATTTTAGTTGGACTACGCAGCAATTCAGCAGCTATTTCATGGGTCTGACAGGAAGAGAGAAGGGGTTACAAAGTAAAACTCATCCACTTTTCGGGAAAATATAAAATAAAATCTGTTAATCTCACAGAGAAAGAGTCAGTTGGGAGTCACTTTGCATTTATAGTAAGCAGGACAGACTGGAGCAAAAACAATGAATGAAACATTAAAATAGAAAACTTTCCCCATGATAGGAGTTCAGGAGGACAGAAAACTGATAAAGTAGTGATCCTCTTTGAGCCTCACAGAAACCAGAATAAGGAGGGTCAGACAGAGCAGGTCAGCGCAGCGTATCTCTCTTACGTCTTCATGGAAAAAGAAAGAAAAACTTGGAGAAACTACCCAGATCAAAACAATTTACATTTAAAATAAGAAAAACAAATCCAATGGCTTATTGTAGGTGCATAATATCTAATTATCTTATTCTAAGAGTAAAAACACTCATTACATTGGCAAATCATCTCATTTACCTACTCAATTTAAGGGTTAATACACTTAATTTAAGAAATTTTTTACTTATTTCTAGATTGTTTTTGCAGTGTTAGAATCACCTCTCTGCCTCAGTCAGCTTAGAAACTGTCCCATATACTGGAAATAACGATCTAGAAATAAGTAAAAATGTATTTTTATTTTTTTCCAGTGCTATAATTAAAACAGACCCAGTCATGTTACTGCACTGCAAAAACAGTCTAGAAATAAGTAAAGATTTCTTAAATGAAGAGTATTTACCCTTAATTTGAGTAAGTAAATGAGATAGTTTGCCAATGGAATGAGTATTTTTAAAAATATTTTCATCTAAAATATTTAGATGAAATGCACTTGAAATAAGACGAAATAAGATGCAATTGTGCTTTCTTAATTGAAATGTAAATTTTAAATGTCTCACTTTCCTCCTCAACTCAAGAACAATTGCACAAACTTTAAGAAAAAATGACAAATCTAGATTTCAATTGTTTTGTGTGATATCTTGTGTTTGAGAATATTTGTACTTTAAATCATTGCGTAGATTTAGACTTTTTCCAGTGCGGTGTTTCATGCTGGGTTTTTCTTTTCTTTAGATGTAGATCTCATATTGTCAGAGTCTTGGTTTGTTAGTTCCTGTTTTTCTTGGTTTTCCATTTGTTGTCCTCTGCTGCCCTCTTGTGTCCTCTTTCTCTTGTTCTGTTTCCTGTTCAGCTCTCACCTGTTTTCAATTCCCTCATTAGCCCTCTCCCTGTCTCTGTCCCCTTTAAAAGCCCTCCCTCTTCAGTTCCTGTTTGCTGGATCCTTGTTTAACATCTGCCTGTCTTCCTCGTCTCTCCCTGGCTCCTAGAGTTTTAGTTTACCCCTGATGTCTCCTTGGTTCTGGTGCATTTGTTGTTTTCTGTTGGACTTTGATTCCTGCCCCTGGACCTGTGAACCTTAATAAACCCACTTTAATTCACCTCTGCCAACTGGTCTCTGCATTTGGGTCCTCCAAACAAACACCGCCTCATGACACATATTGTTAATATATGAACATTCTCTGTCTGTTCTGGTTTAAAATGCTCCACAGACTCTATTATAGAATGCACCAGTGGTTTAAAAAAAAGAACTAAATAACTTTAACTTTTAACAAACCCTAACCATATCTTTCCAAGTCTAATGTGGGAAATTGCAGAGAGACAGGAATGAAAATAATCTTTGCAGATCCTCCACACCCTGCGTAGTCTGAGCCTCTCTATTCGCAGTCGGTGTGACATGAAAAAATTGGATCGGAGATTATAAAGTTGGATGCAGCTGCTGTGTTCGGGGGTGTAGTCAGGATGTAAAATCCTCCTTCCATTGGCAAACTATCTCATTTACCTGCTCAAATTAATGCTAAATACACTTAATTTAAGGAAATTTTAACTTATTTCAAGATTCGTTTTTTTTCAGTGTAGCAAAGTGAAGCATGGAGCAGATATGTTGGCAGTTATTATTTGAGGTGAAGGATTTCTCACCCCCCTCATCACCAGAGCTTGAGGAAGGCTTTGAGGCTCCCAGTTGATCAGAGCCTTTTCAATCCAAGCCTCTTACTTCTAGATACTCACTCAGAAACCTGAACCTGGTGGTGCTTAGGTGATGGAGGACATGATTACTCACAATGGAGGCATGTGTCTGAGTACGTTTATGCACAAAGACATGATGAAGAATAGCTGTGCCTGATGCAGGCATGTATCTACCTGTACCATTTCAAACAATAATAAATATAGCTGCAGTGGCCACCATTACACCAGACGAATCCTGCAGAACTAAACATGTTCACAAAAATGTGGGAAAAAAATACCCAGTAACATAAAAATCGTATCCCATGAACCCAGTTTACATAATTTAAATATATAAAGCTAGATTCTGGGCAGAGTAAAAATTTAACATAAGCTGAAACAAAAGAATTAAATGATGTTATCAGTATATCCCACATTGATAATAGTAAAAAAGAGGAAGAAAAGCAACAGTGCCCAGTGAACTGACCTCAACATCTCCAGTCTGCAGTTTGGACTTTCCAATCCAGAGCAAAGAATCTTTACGCCAGAATCTCTTATTTCATTCCAGCTCAGGTCCAACTCAATCAAATAAGAAGTACTGGACTTCAGAGCAGAGGCCACAACCTCACAGTGTGTCAATGAGAGCCCACAGTTAAAAAAGCTGCAATAGGAAGAAAACAAAATCAGTTAGAATCAAAGTGAGTGTGAGAGAAACAGTGAAATCATGAGACCAAAAGCTAATGCAATCAGTAAGTCCACATCTATTCATTATAAACATTCATTCATCTCTTTTTCTTTAACATTTACAAACGTATTGGGAATATGTTTGAAGCTGGAGACTCAATGAGAATGACTTCTTTTCTTTAATCAGCATACGAGAAATGCGGAAATTTTGTTAAATGTATGCTTCAATCAGAGTAATCTTATTGCAGGTAGGGACCATCTTATAAATCTCCCCATGCCTAAGACCTGAGTTTCTGAGCCTCAGAAGTAGGCATGTCCAAATTTGGTCCTCAAGGGCCGCTGTCCTGCAGGCTTCAGATGTTTCCTGCTTCAGCACAGTGGATTTTTTATTGACAGCTGATTAACTGTCATGTTCTCAACACTGATGCTTGGTCTTATCATCCATTGCAAACACACCTGCTTAGCTCCGCCCAGCTCTCATTACAACTCACCTGATCCACCTGCATAGCCTCCATATAACTAGCCTTCAGACCAGTCATCCATGCCAGATAATTTCGATCTTAGTTTCGATCTTAGCGTTCCTAGTTCTGACTTCCCGATTCTGACCTGTCTGCCTCTTGACTTCTGCGCCTGCAAGTCCCGTCTGATTCTGATTGCGATACCTGTCTTCTGGCTTCCTCCTGACATGACTACCAGTCTAATTTCTGCCTGTTGTGTATTGACAGGATTTGTTTCCTGATTACTCAGCTGCCTGCCCTTGTTCAGCCTGTGTGCTACTCTGTGTATCAAACCTGGAACTGTGACCCTACTCTGTCTGGATCGTCCTTCAGCACCTCACAAGTTCTCTGATCTCCTTCCTCAGACATTCGACCACGTCCATGACCTTGTCTTTGGCTTCACTCTACAGCTAATCCTGCTCATCTTGCTCAAATTTGCCTTGAAGGCTCTAATCTCCTGCCTGTCCTCTGATAACCTTGTGTCTGGAACCCTCTGAGCAAAAACTACCACAACTGATTGGCAGTCCACCAGCTGGGATCTACCTCTACTCCTGGACCAGAACTGGAAATTAAGAGCAGGTTAGTGTTCCACACAATTGTGTGCAAGAACTTTCAGCTAAACAAGGTCACTAACCTGTTGTCTCTTCCTGCAGAGGTCCCTGCTGTAGCCTGCTGTATTTCTGCTCTTAATAAACTGTCTGCCTCGAATACTGGGTCTAACTGTTCTGGGCCTTAACATTAAAAGGCTTTTGCTGAATTTAATCATCAGAATCAGGTGTGCTGAAGCAGGGGAACCTCTAACACCTGCAGGGCAGCAGCCCTTGAGGACCGATTTTGAGCATCCCTAAGTTAGAGGAACAGGAGATCCACACAGAAATCCTTTCCAAGCAAGAGGAAGCCCAACAACCACAGCAGAACTGTTAGTTACTTGGTGGACGGCACATTAGTTTCCGACAATAGTCTTGAACTTTTCATTTAAAGTCATAGGGAAAAGGCCGTTTCAACTGTTGCATTTCAGAATTCTCCTGTTTTGGTGCATAACTTTACACAAGTGAAAAAGTGAATGTGATTGGTCGTTTATCAAGGGGCGGGATTGTTGTGGCTTAAGGTTTGCAAGCAAGTTCGGTTGTGGCCGGTTTGTCGGAAGCATATTTCTAACCAGTTAGCATCTTAGTGATAGCAGGTTCCCAATGGGAAATTCCATTGGGACCAAGTAGCACTAAATTGGTGACTTAGAAACGACGCTGTCAAGGAACGCTATGGACAGCGGAAACATGCAAGAGGAGGAGAGTTTAGTGTCGGAGGTCGTGGATGAGTCTCCTCCGTCATCCATTTTTTATTTAGAGGAGGAAAGCGGGGACGAAGATGTTGTGGAAGAGGACGCCAGGGCGGCAGAAGCTTGGTTTGGTGTAGAAGGCTTCCAGCCGTACATGTTTGAGCCCTTGCCTCGCAACGCTGCCAGTTCTGTTAGCTCTACGCCTGCCGAAGACACAGACGTCCATCCCCGTGAACACTGGGACGCAACTCAATGGGAAAGGAAAGGATTCTGATTTCTGATTTCAACCGTTGCGTATATAAACTGCGACATATGAATCAAAATGCTATAACCGAAAAATTTGATTGACAGATGACCGTTCATATATGATTGGAGGAATTTAGGTGTTCAGGCTGACGTAGAACTAACTGGCCTGCAGAAGATAATGGAAACCCCCCCCCACAGATTTTAAGAAAGGATTTTTTTTTAAATAGAAAATTTCAAAATTTTGGGACAATATCGTCTGATAAAGAGTACATTTATTGTACATGTTTAATGCCAGAATGATTTGACATTTAAATAGCATTTCCTTATGACTTTAAATCCTATATTAAACAGGAATCTAGAATCTTCTTTTTTCATCACCAGAACATTGTAAAACTTAGACATATCTTGTCTAGTGCTGATGTTGCAAAACTTGAAAATAGTACACTCACCGAGCCTTCTTGCAGTTCCTCACAGCTGGAATCAGCCTCAATCGTCCCTTATCGGATGTGTTGTACTTCTCTAGGTCCAACTCATCCAGAACTTCCTCTGACATTTCCACCATGTAGGCAAGAGCTGAGCAGTGCACTTCTGAGAGTTTCTTTCCTGATCTGTCCCCCGACCTTTGGAACTCTTGGATCTCTAGATGAACTGATGGGTCATTCAGCTCAATCAGACAGTGGAAGATGTTGATGCTTCGGTCAGGAGGTATTTTACCCGTGTTCATCTTCTTCAGCTTGTCAATCACTTTCTGAAGTGTTTCTGGGCTGTTCTCTGTCTGCCCTAAAAGGCCTTGAAGAAGTCTTTGGTTGGACTCTACAGAGAGGCCATGAAGGAATCGAACAAACAGATCCAGATGGCCAGTTTTACTTCTACAGGCTTTCTCCATGATCATGCCCAGAAAATCCCGCAGAAAGAATTTCTTGAATTGTTTTCCCAGGAATCTCTCAATCACTCCAGAATTCCTGTTGGTGTAACAGTGGAACATGTAGACTGCAGCCAGAAACTCCTGGATGCTAAAGTGAACAAAGCAGTAGACTGGTTTCTGGAAGATACCAAACTCTTGTTTGAAGATCTCTGTACAAACTCCTGAGTAGACCAAGGCCTCTGTGGCATCAAGACCACACTGTTTCAGATCCTCTTCATAGAACATGATGTTTCCTTTCTTTAGGTGCTCAAACGCCAGTCTCCCAAGCTTCAAAAGAATCTCCCTGTTCGCCTCCATCAGCTCGTGAGGACTCGTCTCATGTCCTTCATGGTACTTGTTCCTTTTTCTCCTTATCTGAACCAGCAGGAAGTGTGAGTACATGTCAGTCATGGTCTTAGGTAGCTCATGCTGTTGCCCTTTGGTCAGCATGTTCTCCAGAACTGTAGCAGTGATCCAGCAGAAAACTGGGATATGACACATGATGTGGAGGCTCCTGGATCCCTTAATGTGGGAGATTATTTTGGTGGAAAGAGCCTCATCACTGAATCTCCTTCTGAAGTACTCCTCCTTCTGCTCATTAGTGAAGCCTCGTACTTCTGTTACCCTGTCAAAGCATGTAGAAGGGATCTGATTGGCTGCTGCAGGTCGGGAAGTTATCCAGACGAGAGCCGAGGGAAGCAGGTTCCCCTTGATGAGGTTTGTCAGCAGAACGTTGACTGATGACTTCTGTGTGACGTCAGAAATGACTTTACTGTTGCTAAAGTCCAGAGAAATTTTGCTTTCATCCAGACCATCAAATATAAAGACAAGTTTACAGCCAGTCAGCTTCTCTGCAGGGATCTTCTGGAGTGTTGGATGAAAAACATAGAGCAGTGTGAGAAGACTGTGTTCGGCATCTCTGATAAAGTTCAGCTCCCTGAATGATATCAGAACCACCGCACTGACATCTTGGTTCTCTAAACCCTCGGCCCAGTCCAGAGTGAATTTCTGCACTGAGAAGGTTTTTCCAATGCCAGCAACACCATTGGTCAGAACTACTCTGATAGGTCCACTTTGGTCAGGTAAAAGTTTGAAGATGTCTTTGCACTTGATTGGGGTATCATTGAGGATCTTTTTTCTGGAATTGGTCTCCAATTGCCGCACCTCATGTTGGGTATTCACCTCTTCATTTAGGCCCTCTGTGATGTAGAGCTCAATGTAGATTTTGTTTAAGAGGGTTCTATTTCCTGGTTCTCCAGTTCCTTCAGTCACGGTTTCACATCGTTTTCTCAGACAATCTTTATGTTCATTTAAAACATCCAGTAAACCAGTGTCTGCTGAAAAGGAAGACAAAAAATTATTTCATTTTGAAAATGTATATATATACATTCAGTTCCTTATCATTCAATTTGATCTCTGTTCCTTTTCATAAAAATCGTTTTTAGGGTCTAACGTGAACAGTGAAACAAAGCTGATAACATGGTTTTAATCCTGCCCAACTGATGTGTGTGTGTCTCAACAGTTCTATGCAATTTCCTCAGCAACATCTCTCCTCACCGTACTCCAGGAGTTTCCAAGATATATAATAGAATGAAATAGAATAGAAAATCCCTTTATTGTCCCACAATGGTAGAAACTGTGGTGTTACAGAAGCAAAAGATTACAGCAATGTGGACCTTAAAGGTGTATAGAATAACAGTGACAGTTACAAAAATACAAATACTATACTGTAGTGTTTTTACTATATAAATACTATATAGTGCTTTTACTATATAAATACTATATAGTGTTTTTACTATATATATATATATATATATATATATATATATATATATATATATATATATATATAAGTATTGTGCATCTGGAAAAATCAATAACAGCTTCGAACATTTTTACAGTAATGGATATTTGAAAAAAGTAGCAACAATTAGAGATGTGCAAAAGGAGCAAGACAGAAACTGTTTAAAATCAGCATGAATGGAACAACTGATTGAGGTTGTTGGGAACAGTGGTGGTTCTAGAGTCTTCCAGCTGCTGGGAGGAAGGATCTGTGATAACGCTCCCTGGTGCATTTAAGGTGCAGCAGTCTGTCACTGAAGGAGCTCTCCAGGTCAGCACCAGCTTCATGCATGGGGGGGGAGACATTATCCAACAGTTGCTAATTTAGTCCAGAGGGCATCCAATCACAGAGCTGGACTTCCTGATCAGCTGATCCAGCCGCTTCCTCTCAGCTACAGATAAGCCACTGCTCCAACAGACAGCTCCATAGAAGATGGCTGATGCCACACAGAGTCAGAACAGGTCTTTAGGAGCGTCCTCTGCACTCCAAAAATCCTCAGTCTCCTTAACAGTAGGCATTTGCTCTGACCTTTCTTATCGTCATTAAATCCATCTGGTCGTCGTCACTCTGTTTTGTGTTTTTACCTTAAATACAGCAGTATGCTTTAAAATAACGACGGTTGAACTTTTACCAATATAGACATGTTAGACATTAGAAAGCTTAGATTCTCTAAAATCTTTCATTTTAAGGACACAGCGACTGCGACAACTTCAATTGTTTATACTGTCTCTGTCATAGCAGAAAGATCTTCTACTGATACACTGGATATTAATTGTTTAAATTTCTTCCTCCCAACTAGATTCCTGACACAGTGACACCACAGCCAAATTACAGGTGCTGGTCATAAAATTAGAATATCATGAAAAAGTAGATTGATTTCAGTAATTCCATTTAAAAAGTGAAACTTGTATATTATATTCATACATTACATACAAACTCATACACTATATTGCCAAAAGTATTTGCTCACCCATCCAAATTATTGGAATCAGGTGTTCCAATCACTTCCATGGCCACAGGTGTATAAATTCAAGCACCTAGGCATGCAGACTGTTTTTACAAACATTTGTGAAAGAATGGGTCGCTCTCAGGAGCTCAGTGAATTCCAGCGTGGAACTGTGATAGGATGCCACCTGTGCAACAAATCCAGTCGTGAAATTTCCTCGCTCCTAAATATTCCACAGTCAACTGTCAGCTGTATTATAAGAAAATGGAAGTGTTTGGGAACGACAGCAACTCAGCCACGAAGTGGTAGGCCACGTAAACTGACGGAGCGGGGTCAGCGGATGCTGACGCGCATAGTGCGAAGAGGTCGCCAACTTTCTGCAGAGTCAATCACTACAGACCTCCAAACTTCATGTAGCTCAAGAACAGTGCGCAGAGAGCTTCATGGAATGGGTTTCCATGGGCGAGCAGCTGCATCCAAGCCATACATCACCAAGTGCAATGCAAAGCGTCGGATGCGGTGGTGTAAAGCACGCCGCCACTGGACTCTAGAGCAGTGGAGACGCGTTCTCTGGAGTGACGAATCGCGCTTCTCCATCTGGCAATCTGATGGACGGGTCTGGGTTTGGCGGTTGCCAGGAGAACGGTACTTGTCTGACTGCATTGTGCCAAGTGTAAAGTTTGGTGGAGGGGGGATTATGGTGTGAGGTTGTTTTTCAGGAGCTGGGCTTGGCCCCTTAGTTCCAGTGAAAGGAACTCTGAATGCTTCAGCATACCAAGACATTTTGGACAATTCCATGCTCCCAACTTTGTGGGAACAGTTTGGAGCTGGCCCCTTCCTCTTCCAACATGACTGTGCACCAGTGCACAAAGCAAGGTCCATAAAGACATGGATGACAGAGTCTGGTGTGGATGAACTTGACTGGCCTGCACAGAGTCCTGACCTCAACCCGATAGAACACCTTTGGGATGAATTAGAGCGGAGACTGAGAGCCAGGCCTTCTCGTCCAACATCAGTGTGCGACCTCACAAATGCGCTTCTGGAAGAATGGTCAAAAATTCCCATAAACACACTCCTAAACCTTGTGGACAGCCTTCCCAGAAGAGTTGAAGCTGTTCTAGCTGCAAAGGGTGGACCGACGTCATATTGAACCCTATGGATTAGGAACGGGATGTCACTTAAGCTCATATGTGAGTCAAGGCAGGTGAGCAAATACTTTTGGCAATATAGTGTATATTTCAGATGTTTATTTTGTTTAATTTTGATGATTACAAATGACAACAAATGAAAATCTCAAATTCATCATATCAGAAAATTAGAATATTGTGAAAAGGTTCAAAATTGATGGCCCCTGGTGCCACACTCTAATCAGCTAATTAACTCAAACCACCTGCAAAAGCCTTTAAATGGTCTTTCAGTCTAGTTCTATAGGCTACACAATCATGGGGAAGACTGCTGACTTGACAGTTGTCCAAAAGACGACCATCGACACCTTGCACAAGGAGGGCAAGACACAAAAGGTCATCGCTAAAGAGGCTGGCTGTTCACAGAGCTCAGTGTCCAAGCACATTAATAGAGAGGCGAAGGGAAGGAAAAGATGTGGTCGAAAAAAGTGTACAAGCAAGAGAGATAACCGCACCCTGGAGAGGATTGTGAAACAAAACCCCTTCAAAAATGTGGGGGAGATTCACAAAGAGTGGACTGCAGCTGGAGTGAGTGCTTCAAGAACCACCACACACAGACGTATGAAAGACATGGGTTTCTGCTGTCGCATTCCTTGTGTCAAGCCACTCTTGAACCACAGACAGCGTCAGAAGCGTCTTGCCTGGGCTAAAGAGAAACAGGACTGGACTGCTGGTGAGTGGTCCAAAGTCATGTTCTCTGATGAAAGTAAATTTTGCATTTCCTTTGGAAATCAAGGTCCCAGAGTCTGGAGGAAAAGAAGAGAGGCACTTCATCCACGTTGCTTGAAGTCCAGTGTAAAGTTTCCACAGTCAGTGATGGTTTGGGGTGCCATGTCATCTGCTGGTGTTGGTCCATTGTGTTTTCTGAGGTCCAGGGTCAACGCAGCCACATACCAGGAAGTTTTAGAGCACTTCATGCTTCCTGCAGCTGACCAACTTTTTGGAGATGCAGATTTCATTTTTCAACAGGACTTGGCACCTGCACACAGTGCCAAAGCTACCAGTACCTGGTTGAAGGACCATGGTATCCCTGTTCTTAATTGGCCAGCAAACTCTCCTGACCTTAACCCCATAGAAAATCTATGGGGTATTGTGAAGAAGAAGATGCAATACACCAGACCCAACAATTCAGAAGAGCTAAAAGCCACTATTAGAGCAACCTGGGCTATCATAACACCTGAGCAGTGCCACAGACTGATCGACTCCATGCCACGCCGCATTGCTGCAGTAATACAGGCCAAAGGAGGCCCAACTAAATACTGAGTGCTGTACATGCTCATACTTTTCATGTTCATACTTTTCAGTTGGCCAACATTTCTATAAATCCTTTGTTTTTATTGGTCTTCAGTAATATTCAAATTTTCTGATATGATGAATTTGAGATTTTCATTTGTTGTCATTTGTAATCATCAAAATTAAACAAAATAAACATCTGAAATATATGAGTTTGTATGTAATGTATGAATATAATATACAAGTTTCACTTTTTAAATGGAATTACTGAAATCAATCTACTTTTTCATGATATTCTAATTTTATGACCAGCACCTGTAGAGGTTGGGGAAGGAAGGGAAGTCTGTTGCAGAGATGGTGCCCCCCCCCCCACCCCCCCACCGAACAGACTGACTCCAAAGAGCAGAAAGCTCTGGAGAACTCAATGGCAAAGTGGATTGGGCGTTCTGCAAGGACCATTGAGGATGAAGACCTTTGTGGATATGATGAAACAAGCCGACAGAAGGTTCAATGTGTGCAGAGGGATATATATTAAAAAGAGAATCGGTGTGTGAAGTTCTATTCTGCACAGTGTTATATAAATAAAATAGAGAAAAAGAGAAGCCGTGTGTGGAGAATTTTTATTCTGTTGGCCTACAGTGTTATATATATGTTTTTAAAAAAAGCAGTGTGTGGAGAAGTTCTATTATTTTCAGCGTTGAGTAAAATGAAAAAAGTGACTAAAATGACTAAAATTTGACAAAGACTAAAATAGATTTTTGTCATTTAGACTAAGACTAAAACTAAATCGGGAAGGCAATGACTAAATATGACTAAGACTAAAATAGATTTTTCTCATTGTGACTAAGACTAAATTTTTAAAAAAGCTGACGAATTTAACACAGCGACGGAGAATCACATTGAAGGAGGCCAGGATATAGTCAGTGTTCTTCATTATTCTCTATTATCTGTCTGAATCCCTCTAACCAGAGCTGCTCCATGTTTATCGAATGGAAACAGAGTTGTTGGCGAAGATTCTCAGTCATCCAGGTCAAAGTCATTCCGACAAAAATTTAAATCAATCCACTGGACGTTGTTTCCAAGTCTGAAGACGTTTCTCTTCCATCCAGGAAGCTTTTTCAATTCAAATGTCAGAAATAGCGTTTAGTTCCAGGTTTTATCCAGTAGCCCAACAAAGCCTTGTTTTTGTTCTGAAACCATGCAAATAGAAACAGACAAACGGGTCCACCCCTCTGGAATGGGGTTAGTTTGGTTTCTTTGTTAGCCTGTAAAGTAATTTAGCTGGCGTTCCCATCGCATGCCGGTGAGAGCCGAGGTGATTTCAATGCAGGTCGCTTGACCCGGGTTCACACGCGTCAGTGAATTGTTCCCACTGCCACTAAAAGCCCGGAGCTCCCGGGTTTAAACTGGTTTTTCGGCCAGTGGGAAAAGGGGATATGACACATCTCTTTTGCCCCACTACTGAATTCCCCCCTATTTTTCTACCCTTCTTACTGCCCCAATGCTAATGCCATTTATCACTCACTAAATCCAGCTCCCTATCTAGCTTGGACCAAAAGGAACAAAGTCAGAACAGTGCTTACCAACTTCCACTATTCAGTATCATAATTTTCAAGTTGCTGGTGCACAAATTCAAGATCTGGACTTCTTGATACAGTGACCATATCTTGGGTAATTCATCAGCAGCAGGATTACAGGGATAACATGCTAAGGACAGCTGCAGACAATTCTGTTGATCAACTGGAGATATGCTGATCACCAACCCTTGATTGTCACAGGCTCTGAAGTGCACTTACAGTTTTAGGATGTAATGGCATAATTTTAATATAATACAGACAATACTGAGAGAATGTTCCCCAAACAGCAGCGCTATTGGTTTGGCTTGATTTTTTTTAGATTTAGTGTCTGTATCAAAGTAACAGGTTAGTAAAACATCTTACCTTGTACAAAGCCACTGCAAACACCAATCTTTTCCGTTGCCCTGTAAAGATGTTTCATTATTAATAAAAGGAACAGTTCAAATAAATCCTATTTCTATTTCTATTTAAATCAAAATAGAAACTCAGAATACATCAATAAAATAAGAAATGTTATGGATTGTGACAGAAACCTTTGGGGCTTATAACAAACTCCACACCCCTAAAACAACAAAACATCAGGCAGCTCACAATATGAAAGACTCACTGGAGAGAAAACAGAAAAGACATGAACAGTAATAATTATTTTTAAGGGACCATGACTCCTAGTTACAGGTTAAAATTGTTGATTGTTGTTCTCTACTTCAAAAAACAATTTAGATTTTAAAATGGAAAAATGTAAATATATATATACATATATATATTTATACACACACATATATATATTTTTTTATTTAAAAATTAAAAGTAACATGCATTAAAAACCTGCTTTTTAATTTCACTGATTGACTATTCTCGTTTTGACCTTTTTCTCATACTTTTTCCACTTAATGCTCGTAATTTTAGGGTTTTATTCTAGTAATGTTACAACTTCATTCTCGTAATGTTGCTAATTTATTCTAGTAATGTTACCACTTTATTCTTATAATGTTACGACTTTATTCTCGGAATGTTGCGACTTTATTCTCGGAATGTTACGACTTTATTCTAGTTATGTTACACTTTATTCTAATAATATTACGACTTTATTCTAGTTAAGTTACGGCTTTATTCTCGTAATGTTACAACTTTATTCTCGTATTGTTGCGAACTTTATTCTAGTAGTTTCGACTTTATTCTTGTAATGTTGAGACTTTATTCTAGTAATGTTACGACTTTATTCTTGTAATGTTACGACTTTATTCTTGTAATGTTGCGACTTTATTCTAGGAGTTAAGACTTTATTCTTGTAATGTTGAGACTTTATTCTAGTTATGTTACGACTTTATTCTAGTTATGTTACGACTTTATTCTAGTTATGTTACGCTTTATTCTAGTAATATTACGACTTTATTCTAGTTATGTTAAGGCTTTATTCTCGTAATTTTACAACTTTTTTCTCGTATTGTTTCGAACTTTATTCTAGTAGTTACGACTTTATTCTTGTAATGTTGAGACTTTATTCTAGTAATGTTACGACTTTATTCTTGTAATGTTACGACTTTATTCTAGTAGTTAAGACTTTATTCTTGTAATGTTACGACTTTATTCTTGTAATGTTGCGACTTTATTCTTGTAATGTTGCGACTTTATTCTTGTAATGTTGCGACTTTATTCTTGTAATGTTGCGACTTTATTCTTGTAATGTTGCGACTTTATTCTTGTAATGTTGCGACTTTATTTTCGTAATGTTGCGACTTTATTTTCGTAATGTTGCAACTTTATTCTAGTAATGTTACGACTTTATTCTAGTAATGTTACGACTTTATTCTTGTAATGTTACGACTTTATTCTTGTAATGTTACGACTTTATTCTCGTAATGTTACGACTTTATTCTCGTAATGTTAGAAATTTATTCTCGTAATGTTGCGACTTTATTCTAGTAATGTTACGACTTTATTCTTGTAATGTTGCGACTTTATTCTAGTAGTTAAGACTTTATTCTTGTAATGTTGAGACTTTATTTTAGTAATGTTACGACTTTATTCTCGTAAAGTTGAGACTTTATTCTAGTAATGTTACGACTTTATTCTTGTAATGTTGCCACTTTATTTTCGTAATGCTGCAACTTTATTCTAGTAATGTTACGACTTTATTCTTGTAATGTTATGACTTTATTCTCGTAATGTTAGAAATTTATTCTCGTAATGTTGCGACTTTATTCTAGTAATGTTACAACTTTATTCTCGTTATGTTGCAACTTTATTCTCTTAATGTTGCGACTTTATTCTAGTAATGTTACGACTTTATTTTTGTAATGTTACGACTTTAATCTCGTAATGTTGCAAATTTATTCAAGTAATGTTAGGATTTTATTCTTGTAATGTTATGACTTTATTCTCGTAATGTTGCGACTTTATTCTAGTAATTTACAACTTTATTCTTGTAATGTTGCAACTTTATTGTCAAGATGTTGCGACTTTATTCTAGTAATGTTACAACTTTATTCTCGTAATGTGACTTTATTCTAGTAATGTTAGGACTTTATTCTCGTAATGTTGCGACTTTATTCTAGTAATGTTACGACTTTATTCTTGTAATATTATGATTTTATTCTCATAATGTTGCGAATTTATGCTAGTAATGTTAAGACCTTATTCTAGTTATGTTGCGATTTTATTCTAGTAATGTTATGACTTTATTCTCGTATTGTTGCGATTTTAATCTAGTAATGTTACAACTTTTTTTTCGTAATGTTGCAACTTTATTCTAGTAATGTTACGACTTTATTCTTTTAATGTTATGACTTTATTCTCTTAATATTATGACTATTCTTGTGGCGACTTTATTCTCCCTAATACTCCGTCATACTCTGCAGTCTGATTCTGTCTGTTCAATAAGAAAACATATTAATTTTAACCTGTAACTGGGAGTCATGTTCCTCTGAGAAGCTTTTTTAACTAGTAAAGAAGAACATTTTTTCCCAAGCTTCTTAAATTATATTACTAACTTGTATAAACTTACGAGCTGTTGCCATTTTAGCTGAAAAAGCTCAGTTTGTCTAACAAACAGATTTTTCGGTTGCATCTCTCATTTTTTTCACCAATCTGTCTCCTAACCTTTACTTAAACATTGAAGTAGCTCCCGTTTAGAGCTGCTGTGTGTCTCTCCTCCAACCACGTAGCCACTTTGTTCACAGTGAAATGCAGAGAAGTCAAGTAACAAAGTACAAATAATTTGTTACTGTACTTAAGTACTCTTTTTAGGTATCTATACTTTACTGCATTACTTATTTTACTTCCTACTTCTACTCATTACATTTTCACACAAGTATCTGTACTTTCTACCCCTTAAATTTTTAAAACAAGCGTTACTCGTTACTCTTGGCTTCGGTTTAATACAGGGTCACGAATTAGCGGACCGCGGTCGGGTGTTACGCTGAAAAGTGCATGCCTGCCAAAATATGCATCCCCAGTCGCGGGAGCGCGCCTCGCTCTATACAACTGCGACTATCGACGAAGAAAACGGATTAACTGCGGATTATCTGCACTGCGTTCACAGACCAGTGTGATGTACTCATGAGCGTCAGATAGCTATGCTGCATTAAGGAGCATGGGACATTTCATACTTACAAGGAAAGAAACAAATGGAACAGAACTTAACTCATACAATAATGTATTTATTCAGAAACAGTGTGGGCTTTCTTACAATATTGAATGCTCTATAATTGTATTTCTGTTATTTCAACTGCTAGCTTTTTATTCTAAAAATCTATAATTTTACACCAGCAAATTGTTAAAGTTTTTCAAAAGCCTGTTTAAAAGCTCCAAATGAGGCTTCATATCAGACAGCGACAATTGCGCTGTTATTGTTTTACAGGCAGAGTTTGCATTTGCTGACCCTTGACCTTTAACTACTGATGGATATACAGGAATACAGTCATACAAGTTTCAACACCTCTGAGATAGCACGGGATGCAATTTTTGACAATTTCTATTTTTTTATTTCAAAATTCAATGTATAACATTAATGCATAAATACCTCATTTTATTTCATTGTTAATTGCTGTTTAAAGTAACAGATCATTAAAAATGTCTCCGAACCTTTATAGGTTGATGATTTTCTTTATTCAGATCCAACTGATTTGTAATTGGTTACCCCTGGTTTAATGTTTCTAAATATTTATTTCCTGTCATGTGCTCCATCCAATGCAGATCATTGGCTCCACCCACATCTAGTGAAAACTAGTGTGATTGGATGAGTCATAGAACGCAAACACTCATTGGTTAGCTAAAGGAAATCATCAGAAGCAAGCAGGTGTTCTTCAAACTGCTAACGTGAATTGTCTATGCCATGCTACAATGTGGGATTCAGGAAAAAGATGTTGAAATGTCTGAAAGGTCGGACACAGGCGAGAGCGTATCGGGAGACGGAGACCAACAAGACCTCCCTCATCCTTGGCCCTATCCCAGAGAATTTATAGAAATAGTCGAAAAATTGAGCTTTCAGTTCATATAGCGGCATGTGGCTGTTTTTTAAAGGTTACTTTATACTTTTAAACTTTAAGTAGTTTTTGGAGCACATACTTTTCACTTTTACTTGAGTAAAGAGGTCAAGTTGATTATTGGTGACTATTGGTGCCAGGGCAAAATTGGTGGGGACATGTCAACAGCAGTCCTTCAGAAAGTTAAGCCTATGAACTGTAATAGGGTCTAAATTTTCCTAAATTCTAAAATGATTTATCTCTGTTTAGTTTAGGATGTAGCAAACGAAAGTTAAAAGAAATGACCAAGTCTGCAAATAAGTTCTTACTCTGTGTTTAAGGGTTCATTACTGAAGACTTCAGGGATATCTCTGGAGTGGTCACTCCTCACGGACAGACAGCTGGATCCTGGAGACTCTGATCTCTGTCTCTGACCCCTGAAACAAATATGTGGATTTGTTCAGATCAATCAGTGAGAAACCCTCTGATGCAGGGGTGTCAAACTGGTTCCAGAAAGGGCCGTGTGGCGGCAGGTTTTCTTTCCAACCAAGCAATAACACACCAGACTCCAGTCATCTCATCAAGGGAGTCCAATCTGAACATGATGATTCAATGATATTAATGAAGTCTGTTGTGCTATTGTTTGGTTGGAAAGAAAACCTGCAGCCACACGGCCCTTTCTGGAACCAGTCCTTTCCACGAGGTTCACATCGGGTAAAAGATTTCCATAAAATCCGTTTATAAGTTTTCAATTGTTCCTGCTAACAATCCAACAACATTCCCTTTTCTTGAGTTTTTGTCTTCAGTAAATTAAACAAACAAAAAAATTGTATCAGGGAGAATTTTATTTCATTGATCTACAAATGGAGCAACAGAGAGGAGAGTGCTTTGAATAAATGTATTAAAGGCCTGCCATCCAGGCTCCACTGATGATGGCTTTTCATACTTGTTATGCACATGTTCAACTCTGAGTGGTTTTATTTGGCGTTGACTGAACTAATTCATAGCAGCCATTTTGAAACCCAAAGCTCAGAGTTCCTGACCTTAGGCTAGATCAATTTAGAGTTGGGGATTTGAGTCTGAGTTTGATAGACCTGTATTATGAAATGGGCCTCTGATGTACAAAGACAATTTCTAGGATAGAAAGTGTTTTGAAAAACCTATTTCTTGTCATTTTAATCGTGATGCCTAACAGACATTAAACAACAAAATTTTATTTTCAGTTTTCAGAATATCTGAGGGAGCGATTAAAAAGTTCTAAATGATTAAACCTTGTATTATTTTTATTTTACAGTTGTAATAAAAACAAAACAATCATTACTTGATACAGACTTACTAATTAAAGGTTTTCTTACTCTGTGTTTAAGGGTTCATTACTGAAGACTTCAGGGATATCTCTGGAGTGGTCACTCCTCACGGACAGACAGCTGGATCCTGGAGACTCTGATCTCTGTCTCTGACCCCTGAAACAGATATGTGGATTTGTTCAGATCAATCAGTGAGAAACCCTCTGATGGAAACCACTAAAATGCTGAAAAAAAACAGAAAATGACCTGAAGGTTTAATGTTTGGAATAGTTATCTGATAAAACATCCTGAAGATATGCAATTATGCATTTATAAACTAGAAAAGCACTTGGAGATTGCAGAATTTGCCACAAATTGTGACTTCCAGCTATAGCTAAAACTGGCACATTTGAGTCATTACCATATTTTAATGAATTGTTCCTTTCCATGAGGTTCACATTGTTGGGATCTGGAGCTGTACCACCTTCCTCCAGCAGAGTGCGCCGTGGGTCCTCCTGAGCTGAGCCTCCATCACACCTGTGGCACATCTCATCATCAGAGGACCCACTCCTATATAAGCTGACTTCAGACCTTGCCTCAACGCCGCAGTGTTGATCTAGTTTGGTTAGCAACCAGAGCCTAGTAAACCTGAGAATCTTTGCTATCTCCTGTCGAGATAAGATTCTAATTCTTCCTTGTTTTTGCCTCACAGGAATCCTGTCTCTTCGTGAAGCTCTGGATGAGCTTAACCTGCCTAGCCTGCCCTCGTGAGCCAAACCTGTAGACTCTTCCCTGGATTCCCTTGCAGCTCTTGGCTAAGAGCTGGAAACCCAAATCAAGGTCTGCCCTCAAAGTCAGAAGTAAGATGCTGAAGCAGTTATTGGACTCTGCTGAACAAACAGTCTCTGGATCCTACAGTAACCTCTCTCAAAGAGTAACCCGGACTCCTTCAAGGTATTTCATCAGCAAACTCAAAGACTAATAACCCTTCAGTCCATGTGCTAACTGAACTGTCATCCCTGCAGACTCCAGTGAACCTGCCCTCAGGCCCGAACCAGCTCCTGTGCAATATTCATGTGATTGTGTTTACAATAAACCTTGTTAAACTTTTCATCAGCCTCCGTGTGTGTTCTGCATATGGGCTTCTCTCTGAGAACCAATCATGACACACATCTAGTAAAAGATTTCTATAAAATCTGTTTATAAGCTTTCAATTGTTCCATAACAATCCAACAACATTCCCTTTTCTTGAGTTTTTGTCTTAAGTAAAATAAAACAAACAAAAAACAAAACAAAAAAACTGCCTTTTTTCTTGTGCCATCAATAGCCACCCTCTGGTTAAGTGGGAAACTGCTTGTTCCACCAAATATCAATCAATCAACTTTAATCAATTTGTCAACTGCAATTTACATTGTTATCAAGATTTCAGATTCAGTAAAAACCATTCATCACATACTTTGGGGTAGGGAGGACTGAGAGGGGGAATGATTTACTAAGGCCACGCGTGCCGCAGAACGCTGCCTTGGGCGCCTTCCTATGACTGCCAAGGGCCCAACCGTAAGCAGTTTCCTATATGTGTGTTTATCTCTGTGGAAAGATAGGAGCCACATTTAGGAGGGAGAGAGTGTTACAGGTGGTATAAAAGCAAAAGCTGTGAGAATTTCTTCAATGGTGTCAGTTTCCGTGGGACGTCAGGACGCCTCTTGGTTCCACGCATGTTATAGATTTGTCAAGAATGTTGGTGAGTGTTTTTAAAAAGTGGGGGTTCTATAGAATTTTTATTAGCACAAATATATATTTTAACCGTTTGTTTCCTGGTTAGGAGGCTCTGTGGGTGTTTTTAGAGCAGGCTGTGTATGCAGGTAGATGAGGGTGAGGTACAGGTATTTTTAGAGATTTTAAGGTAGTAATTAAAACTATACATTGAATTAAATTTTTTGTAATTTGGTTTTTACTGTCTGTTTACAGAGATGCTTTTTGTTGCTCCTGCTGTCCTTAGGGTTTTGTTTTTGTTAGTCTGATCCTGTGTGGTGTGTTGTTCACTTGTGAGGGCAGACTAACTGTTTTGTTTTTTTCTTATCTTTTTTTTCCATTGATTTGTTTTTTTTTTTTTCTTCGTCACTCTCCCAAGCACACTGTGAGCTGGTAGACAATATTATATCTGATGGTCTGCACTGTTTGTTTTTCACCTGATTCCTGTGAAGCCTTATAGAAGGGCGCGACTTTCTTGTTCTGGTTATGCGGGTTTGTCCACCTTCCACCAATGTCAGAGTGTAAATATATTGTCTACCTCAAGCCATGTGTGTTGTAGAAAGAGAGGAAAAGGATTTTTTTTGTTTAATAAAGAACACATTTTTTTACGACTGAGTTTGTTTAATCTTTTCTCGGGTTGTTACAAGAGGAAAAAAAGCATATTTCACACTTTTTCCTTAGCACAAGAAAAGGACATAAACACGCGGAAGCAGCTCTGTGTCCTTCCGCCATAACATCCAATGGAAGTTTGATAAGGGGGAGGCCGAATCCAAACCAACACTTATTTTTTTGAGAGCAGGCTGCGCAGGAATTTTCCATCAGCATTGAGACTTTTTCTTGCTGGCTCTATGTAGCAAATTCAATATTCCAAATTTGTTGGGCTTTTCCGCCTGCAAGCCTGCGTTCAATTGCACCCAGGATACGGCTCAGCTCCTGGTCCTGCTAATTCACAGCCTTTGTGAAGGCGTCAACGGCTGCCAGCAGCCTGATCAATACTCAAATTGCCACCAACATCCTCAGTAATTGTAGATACATCAGGTATCCTCCAAATCCAAACAGGAGAAATCTGAGTATCATAAAACCAAAAATCCATACATCTTGGATATCATCCAATGACAACATTGTACAAAACACCATCCTCCAAGCCTTCTAGGAGTCCATGGTGTATCCCATCAAATATGTCCCGTTAGGACAGGATGAGTCTCCTTTTCCCTGCCTTCCAATTTGATCAATTGCATTGAGAGACCAGCTGACCAGATCCATTGTTTGAGTTCAGATGAAATGAAGCGAGAGCTCAGAAAAGACAAGGACAAAAGCAGGGACAGGCAGGGAGGTGCAGGAGCAGTAGGAAAATGCGACCGCCTCCTTCAAGAGTCAGAACAGACCTGAAGGTGGAAGATCCCAACTCACAATGTTAGGTGCTTTATTTATTGATCTGCTTCGCCTTGAGGTTTGAGTATTTTTAACCATAGGCCTGAAGGGACCAAGGCTGTGGAGACATATGGGACAACAGAAAGGGAGAGAGACACACTGAAAAACTTTTAAGCACCTAACAGAAGAGTCAATCTGGTTGGGCATCCTCTCCCATTAAAGTTCAGAACATTCTTGTGGTTTAGTTTCAATTCAACTTCAAAAATACTTTATTAATTCAAAAGGGAAATCAAATGTTTGCAGTAACTCATAAGTTTTTTGTAAAAAGGTGTTGATGCTGTAGGCAGGAAGTATCTTCTCTAGAGGTCTGTCTTCCACCGGATCTGGAGAAACTTCTGACTGAAGACACTCTGTTGTTGTTTAGACATCTTCTGAAAAGGATGATCACTGTTGTCCATAATGTTATTAAGTTTATGAAGATTTCTTCTTTGTGAAATCATCACCAGAGGTTCTAGAGGAGTTCAAAGAACAGAGCCCTCCTTTTTAATTAGCTTGAGCTTTTTTAAGTCATAAGCTCTGATGCTCAGCAGATGATGGAAGAAGAGATCAACTCTCCACAACAGACATAGGAGATATGTAGCATCTTGTGGAAAACACCAAAGGACTAAGCTTCCATATGAAGTACAATTTTTTCCTTATTCCTCAGGTTAGATCAAACTCTTAAGCAGATTATATGGTGGAATGGTGTTCCACCCTCTCCACTCGGTGCACCAGGTGTAGCAAGAGGAAGGCTGTTAATTAGAGGGTGGGGCAAATGCTTTGTAAATGAGCAGGCCTCTGCCAGGTGCATGTGCCTTTGCTTCCCCTCCATGTCGGCTGCCTAAGTGGCTGGTGTGCATCATCTGAAATCCTAAGTGCTAAATGTTCCATGATCTGTGGCTGGGCTTTGGTGCTTTACCTGCCGTGTGTTTCTGCAGCATTGCTCTGCAGGTGTTGGCAGCTGGAGGTTGTTGCAGCGTGCGGCTTCCATCTAGTCCTTACCTGCTGGTTCACTTTCTCCCTGGTTAGGCTGTGTTTTTACCTAAGCTACCTGTTTAGATTTTAATTTACTTTACCTGAATCTACAGGTTTTTCTAATGGGTTTTCTGGTTTAGGTTTGGAGCTGCAGCACTTTGGATGCTCTGCTGTTTTGTTTTGCCGGGGGTTCTTTTGGGCCGCTCTCAACCAAACCTGTTGCTGCTTGGACAGGCTGAGTGAGCAGGCCATGACTCCTCCCCCCCTTGAAAGATGAAATTGGACGAGGACAATTTGTTCCACAGTTTGAAGTGCTTGCTTTTTTCTTTTACCACAGATACACCAACAGGTCTGAACACATTAGAAACAACTGATGGGACAGAACTTACTCTGGGTCTGAGGTTGCTGGGTCTCTCCTGCAAGCTGAAGGTTTGGTTCTCTCTCCCTGGATTTCTTCCATCTTTTTCAGTCAGTCTGAGAGGAGATTAGAGGAAGGGACTTTAGGCTTAGAACCGACTCGGCCAGACAGAAAGCAAGTACATACTTCTCTGTCTGGTGGTTTGGGTTTACGTCAGAGCAAACAGGGCTGTCAGAGGAATTGGACACCATTTTTTTTTCCGTCTAACTTTCAGTTTTAATTTGTGAGGACATAAATCAGTCCATCCAGCTGCTTAACATCGAATAATCAAGCCTAAACAGCAAATCCCAGCCTGGACATTTAAACCTGAACTGCATCTGCTAGGTCCGATAGCAGTCGTTAGATCCATTTTCAGACAGATCAAAAACCAGATGGTGTAGCTGCTCTTCCTGTTTCCTCTGACAGGCACCGCGCTCAGAGATTATGTGAGAAAAAGCAAGAATAATGTGAAAACAACTCACCCAGATTCACCTTTTTACTCTTCTTTCTTCTGTTCATTCCGTCTGAACTTGTTTTGTTTTCCTTCCTGGTCTCCTCTGTCTATTTCAGTAATATGTATGCGTCACCTTGGTGTGCTACGCCCCCAGTGTCATGATGGGTTTTAGTTGCTTAGCCCACATGCAGAACACAACGGAGGCTGGGTAAAAGGTTTAACAGAGTTCATTGAATGTGCAATAATACAAGTTAAGTACAGGATCTTGAACTGGTCCGGGCTGGTTCACTGAAGTCTGCAGAGATGATAGTTTGATTAGAAAGGCAGGCAGATGAGCACGAGTCCTTAGATAATTCAGAATTCTACCTTGACTGAATCCGGGCTTCTCTTTGAGAGAGGAGGAACCGTTGGGTTCAAAGACTGTTTGTTCAGCAGAGGATACGACCAGCTGCAGCGTCTAGCTTCACACTTTGAATGGCAGACCTTGATTAGAGTTTCAGCTCTTCACTAAGAGCAGCAGGAGAATCCACAAAGGAGTCTTCAGGTTTGGCTCACCAGGGCAGATTGGCAGGTTAAGCTCATCCAGAGCTTCAGGCTAGAGACAGGTTTCCTGAGAGACAAAAACAGAAGAGAGTTAGAATCAGATCTCTCTCTAGAGACAACTAAGATTCTTATCAGTTTTGAAGGCTCAGGTTGCTAACCAAACTAAGGTCAACACTGCGGCGTCGAAGCAAGGTCTGGCAAGCTGGTTATAAAGGGGAGGTCTCCTGATGAGTAGATACGTCTCAGGTGTGCTGGAAGACTCCAGCTCCAGGAGACCCATGGCGCACTCTGCTGGAGGAAGGTGGTACAGCTCCAGATCCCAACACCCAGCTTCAGAGGAGGGGTAAGATTCTAGCTCTGATATAACCTGCTTGACCTGTTCCATGCAGCTCCACCTCTATCCTCTTACAAGAAAGCAGGAAGTTTACCAGTACAGGACAGGCGGGCCAAGAATCTAACCTGTTCCAACATAAAGGAGACTCGGAGCTGCAGGATGTCCAGCAAATAAGTTTATTCGTCATAATGCCCAAGAGGTCAAGCTGTAGAACAGGGGTCACCGACATGGGGGCTCTCAGCGTCTTCTGAAAAAAGAAAAAATCAGTTTGAAATAAAATTTTATTCTGTTGCTCTCATTTTATATGTTCATAGAGCATTCAAGCATTCATAGAGATTTAAATATGACAATACCTGACTGAAAATTCGAAATTAACAAAAGCAGGTTTCTTCCTGTTAAAAGGGAGTATTTCCTCTCCACTGTTGCTGCAAGCATGCTTCACATAATACACCATTTTTTTCCTTATTCAGGTGGAACAATGGAGTTTCTGCCTGTTTCTGCAGCTGGAGTGTCTCTGAAAAATCTGGACATTTTTAGGGATGCAGGTTTGCTCCAGGATTACAGATCAGTTGACCATGTTTGTCTACTTTGTAAAAATCCTTCTGGATCTCAGCATGTTCAGCATCTTGGGTTATCAAGGGCTTTCATTATTGTTCAAAAACTGAAACTATTTTCTGTTTCTTCTGACTTCACCCAGATGAACAGATGAGGCTCCTATGATAACAAACACATACCTGACATAGTTTTACACCCAAAGCTCAGGCAGGTGCTCTGCAGACACTCATGTGCACATCATGTTAGAATATGGCATAATATAGGCCCCCATTACAGGTGGGGCTCTTTGGGAAGCAATGCGTCTTAGAAATGTTCTGTGTTTTGAACGTCATTGGAAATAAACCGGTTTCCTTCCCCAGAAGCCAGAGATCGATCCAAAGAGAATCATCTGAGTGTCTTTTTTTTTTTTTTCAGAGAGAATCTACCACTCACAAAAACACCAGCAGTTCCTCACTACACCAGAAGATGGCAGCAGTGACACCATTATGTAGGATATTCCTATTTTGACATTTTAAAGTTAGAATATTAAACAAAAACTGACAAACCATACAGTTGAAAATGATTAAAAACAATATTCTACAAAAAGATGACTGATACAGAATTCATTTTTTTATGAAACAGTTTTTTAGGTTTTATATGTAAGTTTGTCTTTGCAGTCGCCTCCGTCTTCTATGTAATTAAACATTTCAACCTATTTAACGTGTATATTATATAGAAACATGAATTATTCTGAAAGGCAGACACCCTGTCTACTTTTATGCTGCTATAGGCTTAGACTGCTGGAGGACATAGGGACCCCTTTTTCATCATTCTGCTTCATTCTATCTCTATTCTCCCACTCTGCAGAATCTGTTAGTTCAATCTCTAACGTTCTGCTCTCTCTGCTTTTTCTCATAGTAGCTTCATCTGGTCTGTTCCTGTTTGGCTGTGACTCCATCCTGGAGAGAAATATCAGCTGTGCTGCTGCCATCAACACCTTTGTTTCTAGATGTTGGAGATCGGCCTTTATTGAATTTTAATGCCAATTGAGGCCTCAATTTAAAAAAACAATTGAATGATTTTTAATGACGCACAGAAACCCTGTGATTCTTCTTAAGTTAATCTTCAAGTTCTTCTTGTTTAAGCAAAGTTGCCCAACAGATCGATGATGCAATAAATCTGTAATTAGATTATATCTGATCAATTAGGACCAATCTGACTCAATCAGATCCTAAAGACTTTCTTTCATTACATGTCAGAACATTTTATCAACAGTTTAAATGATAAAAACTCACTTTTGGAGCAAAGTTCATTTTGAAGTTCCTTTTTCTAAAGAGTTATATTTGTATTAATGCGGCTGTAAAAACTGTAATTAAAAAATAATCCTTGTCTGTAATTCTGGTCATTTCAAACTCTGATTGTTACGACGGAGTATTATGGCCAGGCTAGAGATTTTTTTTTCTTCTATTACAAGAATAAAGTTGTAATATTGTATGATTTAAGTCGTAACATTACGATAATAAAGTCGTAATATAGAATGAATAAAGTCCCAACTTAATGAGAATAAAGTCGTAATATAGTATAAAGTTGTAACATTACGAGACTAGTCGTACCATTACGAGAATAAAGTCGCAATATTGTCTGAATAAAGTAACATTACAAGAATAAAGTTGTAACATTACGACAATAAAGTCGTAAAATTATGAGAATAAAATAACATTATGAGAACAAAGTTGTAACATTACGATAATAAAGTCGTAATATTGTATGAATAAAGTTGTAACATTACGATAAATCGTAATATTTTATGAATAAAGTAACATTACGATAATAAAGTCATAACATTACGAGAACAAAGTCGTAACATTACAGGAATAATGTAATATTGTCTTAATAAAGTCATAACATTACGAGAATAAAGTCGTAATATTGTATGAATAAAGTCGTAACATTACGAGAATAAAGTCGTAATATAGTATAAAGTTGTAACATTATGAGAATAGTCGTAACATTACGAGAATAAAGTCGCAATATTGTCTGAATAAAGTAACATTACGAGAATAAAGTTGTAACATTACGACAATAAAGTCGTAAAATTATGAGAATAAAATAACATTATGAGAACAAAGTTGTAACATTACGATAATAAAGTCGTAATATTGTATGAATAAAGTTGTAACATTACGATAAATCGTAATATTTTATGAATAAAGTAACATTACGATAATAAAGTCATAACATTACGAGAACAAAGTCGTAACATTACAGGAATAATGTAATATTGTCTTAATAAAGTCATAACATTACGAGAATAAAGTCGTAATATTGTATGAATAAAGTTGTAACATTACGAGAATAAAGTCGTAATATAGTATAAAGTTGTAACATTATGAGAATAGTCGTAACATTACGAGAATAAAGTCGCAATATTGTCTGAATAAAGTAACATTACGAGAATAAAGTTGTAACATTACGACAATAAAGTCGTAAAATTATGAGAATAAAATAACATTACGAGAACAAAGTTGTAACATTACGATAATAAAGTCGTAATATTGTATGAATAAAGTTGTAACATTACGATAAGTAGCAATATTGTATGAATAAAGTAACATTACGATAATAAAGTCATAACATTGTATGAATAAAGTTGTAACATTATGAGAATAGTCGTAACATTACGAGAATAAAGTCGCAATATTGTCTGAATAAAGTAACATTACGAGAATAAAGTTGTAACATTACGACAATAAAGTCGTAAAATTATGAGAATAAAATAACATTACGAGAACAAAGTTGTAACATTACGATAATAAAGTCGTAATATTGTATGAATAAAGTTGTAACATTACGATAAGTAGTAATATTGTATGAATAAAGTAACATTACGATAATAAAGTCATAACATTGTATGAATAAAGTTGTAACATTATGAGAATAGTCGTAACATTACGAGAATAAAGTCGTAACATTACGAGAACGAAGTCATAACATTACGAGAACGAAGTCGTAACATTACGGGAATAAAGTCGTAATATTGTCTTAATAAAGTTGTAACATTACAATAATGAAGTTGTAACATTACGAGAATAAAGTCGTAATATTGTATGAATAAAGTCGTAACATTACGAGAATAAAGTCGTAACAATACGATAAGTCGTAAAATTATGAGAATAAAATCGTAATACTATGATAATAAAGTAACCATACAACAACCGGTTTCAGAAAGAAAGCTTGGAGCTCCGCCCAGCAGATGATGTCAGAACAGCTCCACCAATCAGCAACCAGAGTCCACTTTGACATCCTGCCCAGTTTGATGTTGCTGCTAAAAGATTTCCTGATTTGTCAAACCGATGCTAAAGTAGAACTTCACATGATGCTCCACGTTCCTCATTTTAGAGAAGAAAGGGCTTCTGGGAAGAGTTGTTATAAAATATAAGTTTATTCTCGTAATTTTTTTACTTAATTCTCTTAATAGAAGGAAAATAAAATCTCTAGCCTGGCTCTAATACTCCGTCGTAGATTGTAGCCTAAATCTGACTGACTGGATAATAAAGGTTTTTATTTTCTCCACCCTCAGGCTCCAAACATGGAGTTTTTTCTGGTTTCAGATGTTTTTCTGTAAACGGAGAGAAAACTGCAAGTTTTATTAGAATCATGGGAATTTATTACATCAGCAGTTGCAGCAAAAACAGTTTTAAAATCTTCCGTCACTCCTCCTGCTTTTCAACCGACAGCAGAACCAAAGTCAGTCCTCAGAGTCCCCGTCGCCTGCTGCTCTGGAGCCGCAGAGAAACGGTTCCTCCGCATTCAGCTCATCGACGGGGCGGGGGCGGAGCCTGCACCAGGAAGCAGCAGTAGCGGCGACACAGAGAGCGGGGGGACCGTGAAGAAGAAGAATGACGACGTTGATGCTGAAGAACAGGCACGTTGGAGTACTGAGTGTGTCTAGACTATCACTGTTTACAACAGTGGAAAAAACGCTTCGTTTCTCACAGAAAAACTCTTCTTTGCTGTTTCTGGGGTTTTATTTATTTGTTGCTCCGTCACTTCCTCCTCCTCCTCCTCCTCGGCTGGTGGAGGAAGATTCTGTCGGCTTGTATTTCGTGTTTCGGCTCCATCAAATGATCTCGAAGGTCTTCTTCAGCTCCATGATCAGCTGCCAGTCGGATTTCTGCATCTCGTCTCGGAACCAGTTCTTCAGGGCGTCGATGGACGCTCGGGTGATCTGGAACCAGAACGGACAGGTTACCTCGGCGACAGAACGCAGCGGCCTCGGCCAATCACGGGAGGGCGCGTCCTCACCTTGCTGACAATGATGTCCGTGGCTTCGAAGTGGCGGCCGTACATCTTGGGGGACTCCCCGGGGATGGGTTCGATCTTGACGCAGATCTCCTGGCCTTTCTTGGCCATGTCCACCGCCTTGTGGTTGATCTCGATGCTGGTGACTATTCCGATATCCACAAACTGGAAAACGGGCGACGTGGATTAAACGGACGGCGTTAAACAATAGAAAAACGCCGTCGGAAAAGGCCTCTCACCCCTTTGCTGGGCACACACAGCGGCGTTCCCTGCTTCAGAAGCCCCGCCTCCACCGACACGCCGATCACGATGGGGTCTCTGGAGTTAAAGATGAACTGAGGAAGAACTCGGAGCTTCGCCGGGAACACGGCTATGTGCCTGAGGAAGACATTAGAAACCTTTAGAAAGTGAAAAGGTGACGCTAACATTTAGATCTAAATAGGTTACTAACGGTGATGTTTATGTACAGGGTGGTAATTAACATGGCGGGTCCGGACTTTTTTGGGGGCTGGTGCTCAGGTTGGAAAAAGGGGAACTTTATACATCGGATGGAGCTGCCAACAGTGCCTGATGCTGACGTTTTAACAGTTTTCCACAGTCCTTTTAAGGCTAGGCTTAAAACTTTCCTTTTTGATAAAGCTTCTAGTTAGAGTGGCTCAGGTTATCCTGAGCTATCTCTATAGTTCTGCTGCTATAGGCTTAGACTGCTGGAGGACATAGGGACCCCTTTTTCATCATTCTGCTTCATCCTCTCCACTGTCGCTACAAGCATGCTTAGAGGGATTGCTGAAGAGTCAATGAGTCGATGCAATCAGCTGGTTTTCCTTAGATAGAAAACTTCTGACTGGATGATCTGGTGAACTGGAAAGTGACCTGAGATGACATGATGTGAATTGGAGCTATAGAAATAAACTGCGTGTTTTCCTACTTGAACTCTTCCTGCTTGGCCTTCTTATAGTCCTCTCTGTATTTGGTGAATGCGTCAAACAGGTGGTAGATGATCTCTGCTGAGAAGATCCGAACTCCCAGACTGTCGGCCATCTCCTGGCTCTCCCTCTCCACCTTCACGTCGAAGGCCAGGATCACCGCGTACCTGCGCACAGCACAAACCACATCAATCTCCGTGTCCGGGTTCATTCCAACAGCAAGGGGGCGCCGACTCACTGCGGATCGTGCTCCAGCATGGTGGACGCCTTCATCACGTCCCTCTTGTGAACGGGGCCGATGTTGATGCCGGCGTACTGAAAGAGACATGGAGGGTTAAAGGTCAGCTGCAGGAGAGGACGGATGGCGGACAGAGAGGGGGCGACACTCACGGGGACTTTGGACGTCCGGAGGAACTCCAGGAGGGCCTCCAGGGAGCCCAGCGTGGACGCCTGGACATAAACGCCTTTCTCCTCCAGCTTGATGGAGCTCAGGGTCTGTTTCAGCTCCTTCACCAGCTCATCCTGCCAACCAGCAGCCGTTAGTCACTCAGGGTTTAGACAGGGACGACTAATTTAATGCTTTATAATGCTCTTAGAAATTATTTTCATGCCAACAACAAGTACCAATTACTCTCAGATATATATATATATATATATATATAAAAAATCCCTCTTCACCTCTACCATCCACAGGCATGACCCGAATTCCTAATTTTTCAGCCACTTTTGTTGAAATTAGCTTTTTTTCCCCCTCATTCTCATGCTTTTTTTCCCAATATATGGCTTTATTCTCCCCCCTAGAATAAAGTCGTAACATTACGAGAATAAAGTCGTAATATTGTATGAATAAAGTCGTAATATTGTATGAATAAAGTTGTAACATTACGATAATAGTCGTAAAATTACGAGAATAAAGTTGTAACATTACGAGAATGAAGTCGTAAAATTACGAGAATTAAGTCCTAACATTACGAGAATAAAGTCGTAACATTACGAGAATAAAGCCGTAATATTGTATGAATAAAGTCGTAATATTGTATGAATAAAGTCGTAAAATTACGAGAATAAAGTCCTAACATTACGAGAATCAAGTCGTAACATTACGAGAATAAAGTCGTAACATTACGAGAAGGAAGTCGTAACATTACGAGAATGAAGTCGTAACATTACGAGAATGAAGTCGTAAAATTAGGAGAATAAATTACGAGAATAAAGTCGTAACATTTCGAGAATAAAATCATAACATGATGAGAATAAAGTTGTAAAATGACGAGAATAAAGTCGTAACATTACGAGAATAAAATCATAACATAATGAGAATAAAGTCATAAAATTAAGAGAATAAAGTCGTAATATTGTATGAATAAAGTTGTAACATTACGATAATAGTCGTAAAATTACGAGAATAAAGTTGTAACATTACGAGAATGAAGTCGTAACATTACGAGAATGAAGTCGTAAAATTACGAGAATTAAGTCCTAACATTACGAGAATAAAGTCGTAACATTACGAGAATAAAGCCGTAATATTGTATGAATAAAGTCGTAATATTGTATGAATAAAGTCGTAATATTGTATGAATAAAGTCGTAAAATTACGAGAATAAAGTCGTAACATTTCGAGAATAAAATCATAACATGATGAGAATAAAGTTGTAAAATTACGAGAATAAAGTTGTAAAATGACGAGAGTAAAGTCGTAACATTACGAGAATAAAGTCGTAACATTACGAGAATAAAATCATAACATAATGAGAATAAAGTCATAAAATTAAGAGAATAAAGTCGCAACAGTATAAGAATTAAGTCCTAATATTACGAGAAGCAAGTTGTATTTTATACCATCTCTTCCCAGAAGCCCTTTCTTCCCTCTAATGAGGAATGTGGAGCATCGTGGGAAGTTCTACTTTAGCATCGGTTTGACCAATCAGGAAATCTTTTAGCAGCAGCATCAAACTGGGCAGGATGTCAAAGTGGACTCTGGTTGCTGATTGGTGGAGCTGGTCGGCCGTCATCTGCTGGGCGGAGCTCCAAGCTTTCTTTCTGAAACCGGTTGTTGTTTGATGACTTTATTCTCGTGTTTTTACGACTTTATTCTCAAAATAAAAAAAATCTCTAGCCTGCCCTAATACTCTGTGGTAATATCCGATAGAATATATCTGCATTTTTTTTCTTTAAATAAAGCATTTTAATCACCATTTAATGCCATTAAGGCTTTAAATTAAATAATAATTTAATGATTTTAAATGAACCGTGGAAACCCCGTCACAGCAGAGCAACAAGCACAGCAGAGAGGTACCCTTAAGACGGGGATCTCGTCTTCTCTGTGGGCCACCAGCAGGGGGAGCCCTGCCAACGTCTTCTCCAAGTCCTTCCCTAAAATCTTCACCCCCTGAGACGTGGACACCTCCTTGTGCTTCTCGTACTGGCTCTGCCGGCAGACAAACGAGAGAAGAAGAGTTTCAGGGCGACTGCAGGAGCTTCGGCTACCAGACCGAGGAGGTTTACGGAAATCACTTTGACTCGCAGCTCCTTCAGCGGCGGCGGCAGCAGCAGGCCTCTGATCTGCGTCACGATGGGTCCCTCCACCCCCGGGACGATGATGGTCTCTCCTTCACGCAGACGGCCATTGATCAGGATGACGTCTATCGTGGTTCCCATCCCGGGCAGCGCTTTCACCTGCGCACAGTCAGATCATCATCACCATCGCCGTGCGCTCTGAGAGATCGTCGAATCGAGACTCACCTCCATGACCTGAGCTCTCAGCTCGTCGCAGTGGGCCAGGCGGCGGGCCAGCATGGTCTGAGTGAGCTCCACCAACAGGGCGATGAGGTTCCCCATCCCGTCGCCGCTGTGAGCCGAGGTGGGTACCAGCGACACGAACGTCCTGGGGTCCTTGTTCTCGTAGAACAAGGCGGCGTTCAGACTCTGAGGAGCGGGAGAGGCTCGTGAAACGCGTGTCCTGAGGTGGGAAAACGCTGAGCTCTGATAGGCTGCTGGTGTACCTGCTGGGCAAACTCCACGATAATGGCCTTGGTCCGCTCGTCAAACTCGTCTTTGGTGTTCTTCTTCTGCTTCTTCAGCGTGGCCACCACGTCCGTCTCCGGGCTCTTCTTCCAGTCGTAGAGTCGGTCGATCTGATCGGAGGAGAACGGCGTCAGAAAACAAGCGAAGAAGAACAGAGAGGGCGGAGAGGAGCAGGCGGGGGACCTTGTTCAGGGCGACGATGAACGGACACTTCTTCTCCTTCAGCAGGTTGATGGACTCGATGGTCTGAGGCTCCAGGCCGTGCATGATGTCCACCACCAGGATGGCGATGTCGCACAGAGAGCTGCCTCTGTTCCTAAGGTTACTGTGGAGGCAGAGGGACGTTGAGACGGCTGGCGGGGACGGACGGGGGGAGGAGGGGGAGGAGTCTTACCTGAAGGACTCGTGTCCTGGCGTGTCGATGATCAGCATGCCGGGGATCCTGACGCTTTCTTTGTCGAACTGCACAAACAGATCAAGGTCAACAAACTGCAAACAAAGACTGAAGTCCTCCGAGTGACACATCTCACATTTTTAACCATCTTGGTCTGCTCCTCGATGGTCTCCTTGGGGACGTTGGTGGCGCCGATCTGCTGCGTGATTCCTCCGGCCTCGCCGTCCTGGACGTGGGTGTGTCGCAGCTGCAGACAAACGCAAGCGGAGCAGAGTTGGACCTTTTTTTCTTTCAAAGATAAAAGGAGCGGGTGGGCGGGGAAACGGAGGAAGCATCACCTTATCCAGGATCTTGGTCTTCCCCGTGTCCACGTGTCCCAGAACGCAGACCACCGGCGCCCGCAGCCTGTCCGGGTCGATGTTCTTCAGGTTCTCCGCTCGCCGTTTCTGTTCCGAGACAGCAGCCCGTCAGCCAAAGACGTTCCCAACGACACGACCTCTCACTCCTCTCATAAACCTGAGCCCCACCTCTATCCTCTTCTTGGCGCGGTCGTACAGCCGCTCCTCCTTCGTCCTCCCGTCGTCGTCGTCACTCTCGCTGCTCTCCTCTTCGCTCGCCGCTCTCCTCTTCCCATGACCCGCCGCCGCCGGCTCTTTCTCTGCTTCTTCCTCACTCTCCTCCTCCTCCTCGTCTTCTTCCTCCTCCTCCTCATCATCGTCATCTTCCTCCTCCTCTTCCTCATCCTCCTCCTCACTGGCCGCAGGCTGATGAGGAGCAGCCGAATCCTCCTTCACCTCGATGTGGACTTTTTTCAACTCTGGCAAAAAAAAAAAAAGGCAAAAAAATGAAGAACAGTTTCGGACGGAAAAAAAAATCCTGAAATAAAAACAAGCAAATAATACGGAAGAGGATTAGGGCCACTGGAAAAAAAAAGTTTCCTGATTTGAAAATTTTATTTCAGTTTAGTGTGGGAAAAAAGTCAGAATTCTGAGAAAAAGTCAGAATTCTGACTTTTTTCCCACACTAAACTGAAATAAAATGTTAAAATCTGTTAACTTTTTTTTTTTCCAGTTACCCTAATCCTCTTCCGTAGAATAAAGTTTGCAGACTAACGTCTTCTACAGCAGGACAAGCAGCAGGAATACGAGGGAAACTCAATCTAAAGCAGCAGGCTTTTAGCTAGGAACATTTCTTAGGTGTAGATCATCTTTAGGCAGCAGCTGCCTCGTCGCCTCTAACCCCATTCTTATGACATCAACATATGGCAACTCCACTCGGACAAACTCTATTGCTCCTGTTTGTTAAGGATCGAATCTCTTTAATCTCGGAATTTTCTGACTTTAATCTCAGAATTTTCTGACTTTAATCTCGGACTTTTCTGACTTTAATCTCGGACTTTTCTGACTTTAATCTCGGACTTTTCTGACTTTAATCTCGGACTTTTCTGACTTTAATCTCAATATTTTCTGACTTTAATCTCGGACTTTTCTGACTTTAATCTCGGACTTTTCTGACTTTAATCTCGGACTTTTCTGACTTTAATCTCGGAATATTCTGACTTTAATCTCGGAATATTCTGACTTTAATCTCAATATTTTCTGACTTTAATCTCGGAATATTCTGACTTTAATCTCAGAATTTTCTGACTTTAATCTCAGAATATTCTGACTTTAATCTCAGAATATTCTGACTTTAATCTCAGAATATTCTGACTTTAATCTCAGAATATTCTGACTTTAATCTCAGAATTCTCTGACTTTAATCTCAGAATTTTCTGACTTTAATCTCAGAATTTTCTGACTTTAATTTTCTGACTTTAATCTCAGAATTTTCTGACTTTAATCTCAGAATTTTCTGACTTTAATCTCAATATTTTCTGACTTTAATCTCAGAATTTTCTGACTTTAATCTCAGAATTTTCTGACTTTAATCTCAGAATTTTCTGACTTTAATCTCAGAATTTTCTGACTTTAATCTCAGAATTTTCTGACTTTAATCTAAGAATTTTCTGACTTTAATCTCAGAATTTTCTGACTTTAATCTCAGAATTTTCTGACTTTAGTCTTCTGACTTTAATCTCAGAATTTTCTGACTTTAATCTCAATATTTTCTGACTTTAATCTCAGAATATTCTGACTTTAATCTCAGAGTATTCTGACTTTAATCTCAGAGTATTCTGACTTTAATCTCAGAATTTTCTGACTTTAATCTCAGAATTTTCTGACTTTAATCTCAGAATTTTCTGACTTTAATCAGAATTTTCTGACTTTAATCTCAGAATTTTCTGACTTTAATCTCAGAATTTTCTGACTTTAATCTCAGAATTGTGGATCTTAATGCTGATGGGCTCCATGCAGGCAGAGATGTGGAGCTCCCAGCTTCAGTTGTTTGGGAGAAACAGGAACACATTGGTGGAAAATGATGGAATTAGGCGAGTTTTTCCGTCCCTGCTGATGCTATTTGATTAATGGAAGAGCAGAAGGTGATTAAAACAAGAGAGCTCGTCTCTAAAACAGACATGGCTACGGCTTGATGCTAACATGTTTGTTAGCTGGCAGAATTCAGTCAGAATTCTCAGATTAAAGTCTAAATTCAGAATTTTTATCTCATATTAAAATGAAATAATATTTAAAAATCAGTTAACATTTTTTATTTTTTAAGTGGCCCTAATCCTCTTCTATACTTAATGAGTCAAAAACTGTGGAAATCATAAAATATAAAAAGACTGAGTCACATTAAGTAAAAAATAAATCCCCCCCCCAAAAAACCTTTGATCTGTTTGAAAAAAAAAAAAAAATCAAACTTTTTTCCAAGTAGCATAAAACTGAAAACGAATCTTAATAAAAACTAGATTAAAGAAAGGAAGTAGTTAGGAATGGATGCTGTCAGCAGTCAAACACCAGGCAGTTAAGGGACTGAACGACTCGTAGCTCTGATCCTAGACAGCAAACACTCAGAGCTCTAGTCAGGTTAAAGCTAAAAGCGCGTCGGACGCCTCGCTGTACCTGCTGCGCGTCTTCGTTTCCTCTCTGCTTAGTCATGAATAAAAAGAAAAGCATCCGTCAGGAGGAAGTTTGCTCGCACCGACTGAGGAACCCAGGAAGCCGTGACCTCTCACCTTTCTCCTCGTCGCTGGCCATGGCCTCCCAGTCGTCCAAGTCGGCCTCCGCCTTCGTTTCTGCTCCTCCCTTACCGACAGACACCCCCTCACCTGGCTCTGCGGACGGCGCCTCGGCCTCCGTCTCCATGGGAACGGGCTCCGGAGTCTCTGAGACCGGAGAAGTGACCTCTGATTTTTCTTAGAGGGAGGGAAGGAAGCGTTAGCGCTGAAGGCTTCCCATTAGAGGAGCAGCAGGAGGAGCAGCAGGAGGAGCAGACGTACCTTCGGAGGTCTGCTGATTCTGCTTCTTCTTCCTCTTGTCTCCATAAACCGGTTTCTTCTTTGGCGCGCCGTCTTTGGATGGCACCTCAACACCTGCAGATTCACCAGGTAAGAAAATAAGCTGGGACAGGCCCCGCCCACGCAGAGAGGCCCCGCCCACTCACCCTGAGCCTGCAGCAGCTTGAGCGTGGCCTCGGCCCGAGCTTTGGCCTCCCTCTGAGCCTTGGTCAGGAGCTTGCCCTCCTTCTTCAGCCGCTCCCTCCTCTCCTTCTCCTTCTGCTTCTTCTTCTCCTTCCGCTCCTGCTCCAGTCGCTCCTAAACCACAGACTGAGTGAGGAGCGCCGTAACAAACCGGAGGAGAAGCCGGCGCGGTTGGCCTCAGGTGTACCTGCTCCTGCCTCTGGTTCTCCAGCTCCTCCAGCCTCCTCAGCCTCTCCTCTTCCTCTTTCCTGGCTCGCTCCTCCTCCTGCAAACAGGCAGCGTCAGACGGGCCGCGGCGTCACCCAGCGGGACTACATTTCCCAGCATTCCTCCCACCTCCTTCATCTTGGCCAACGCCTCCTGCATGGCCTTCACCGTGGCCTTGCTGGGACCCTTGGTCTTCTTCTCCTCCTTCTCTCCCTTCTTCTTCTTCTTGTCTTTCTTCTTCTTGTCTCCTTCGTTCTCCTCTGCAGAACAAAGAAAAACTCTTTTTTTTTTTTTCCAGCAGTACGAGGATTTCACCTGATGATGTCATACCCTCTGCTGCTGGCTCCGCCCCCTCCGGTTCCTCGGCTGCAGGAGGAGGCGCCTCCTCAGACTCTGGTTTGACCTCGGCCGTGGCCTCCTTCTCCTTCAGCTTCTTCTGCTTCATCCTCTCCTCCTCCTTCTTCTTCTTCTCCCTCTCCTTCTTCTCCGCCTTCTTCTGCGCCGCCGTCTTGATCTTGAAGCCCCCCACCTCGTCGTCCTGCTCCTCCTCATGGTCGCTCTCGGCCTTGGCGGCCTTCCCTTTGCTCTTCTTCTTCTTGTCCCTCCTGAAGCTGAACTCCTCCTCGTCGCCGTCCGACTCCGCCTCCTTGCCTCCCTCTAAACCTTCCTTCTTCGTCTCCGTCTCCTGGGGCTCCTCTTCGTCGGACGCAGATTGTTTCTTCCCTCCTTTCTTTCCTCCTTTGGTCTTGGCTCGGGAGCGCGAGGAGCTGTCATCATCCGAGTCGGAGGGAGGAGCAGCTGGAGGCTCCTGCAGGAGCAGAGAGGAGTTAAAGGTAAAGGGAATCAACTTAGTGCTAGCAGGTTCCCAATGGGAAATTCCTTCGGGAACCTACTAGCACCAAGTTGCTAACCAGTTAGCATCTTAGTGCTAGCAGGTTCCCAATGCGAAATTCCTTCGGGAACCTACTAGCACCAAGTTGCTAACCAGTTAGCATCTTAGTGCTAGCAGGTTCCCAATGGGAAATTCCTTCGGGACCAAGTAGCACTAAGTTGGTGACTTAGAAACGACGCTGTCATGGTTACGGCTCTACGATAAACCGGAAGCTGTTCCATGCAAACATATCGCAATTCAATATATCTGAAAATTGTTTTAGAAACATCTTTTATTTTAAAGCATTTTAAATGCCACAAATTAAAAAAACATAATAATTTAATGACTTTTAATGATTTTTAACGTAAACCCTGTAATAACAGGAGGTGAAATGCAGCTCCAGACGAGCCGAGCGTGTGATGATGTCATCAGTTCGCTTCTGTTCCAATTAACCCAGGTTTATGCTGCGCGCTCCCGTTCTCGCCAAGTCCAGAAAGCACGCGGCGAGGACGCGAGTCTGTACTCGTGTTCTAGTGGATGAACAGCCAATCAGGAAAGAAGCAGGCTGATTTAAGCATGGCTGCTGGACATGTTTGATCAACTAGAAGCTCAAACTGACCATAAACATCCTCCACCCATCTCTACAGAGCCTGTTAGTGGTCGGTTTGGGGAATTGAACGCACAGCTTCTGACACTCTGACACATATAGAGTATAAACAGCAGAAGAAGCTGCTGGAAATCAAGTCTAACTGATGTAAACCAGGCTTTACCTCCAATAATCCCGCTGAATTAAAAACATGGCAGCTCTGCTTTACTCGCCTTGTTCTTCTCCTTCTGCTCTCCGTTCTTCTCCCCGTCAACTTGGCCTTCATCGCCTTCCTCATCCTCGGGACTGGCTCCGCCTTTCTTCCCCTTCCTGGTCTTCTTCTTCTCTGGTTTGGGAGGCTCCGGGGTTTCTACGTCTTCTTTGGTCGCCTTGCCCCCGTGCGCCTCTATGGAAAGCTCCTCCAGCTCCTTCAGGATGTCATCCTCACTGTGGAGAGAAAGTACGGGTCACGCCATGGCACCACGGCGACGCACCACAGCAAGAGAGGAGGAGGCTCTTACTCAAAGTCGTCTTTCTTGTTTCCTTTCTTCTTGCTCTTCTTTCCTTTCTGCTCTTTAGAAGCGCCGGTTCCTTCGATTTCTGCAGCCAGAGCGTCGATGTCCACGCCGTCGTCTTTGGCGCTGAAAACGGATGAGAAAAACAAACCATCAGGTGACCGGGCTGCGGCTTTGTGCTGCGGAGCTGCTGCTGACTCTTCACCTCCTTTTGTTTCCCTCTGAAACTCATGCAGCTCAACCCAGAGCGGAGCTCCGACTCCGAAACACAGAGGAGCTGCTAAATGGAGAGCTCGCTACAAAACCCGGATTCTAGATTAAGGAAATGCAAAAACACTTTTTAACTTTTAAACCCATTTATGTTGCAAATTCAGCTTCCATTTAATGACGTTAAACGTTTAACAGGAGAATCTCATGGAATCATAAACCTTTGATAAAGACAGTTGCCTTTTGTATCTATGCTTCTTTTTCTATGTCTGCTTCTGTCTCCTTGAACCCCAGTGGGCCTCAGCAGATGGCCGCTCACACTGAGCCTGGTTCTGCTGGAGGTTTCTTCATGTTCAAAGGGAGTTTTTCCTCTCCACTGTCGCTACAAGCATGCTTAGTGTGAGGGATTGCTGAAGAGTCAATGAGTCGATGTAATCAGCTGGTTTTCCTTAGATAGAAAACTTTGAATTAAGTGACCTGAGATGACCGCTATAGAAATAAACTGAATAGAATATAAAGGAGCAGATTATCTCTTGTTTTGTGAGTAACTGATGCTCTATAATAGTGTATTAATCATGATAAACTCAGTCATCTTAACTGTCAACCTGCCTGATTCATTATAATTTCAGATGGTTAGATTTAATGACCCTTCAGATTAAAAGGTTCATATAAAACTGGACTCTAATCCCAGCAGATTACATCAGCTAACAGCTCAGGTTAACACACCTGAGGCTCCATTAATGGGTCTCAGTGGTAATTAATGTGAGAAACATTCAAATCAGCTGTTATATCCGCTTTAATCCAGAATTAAAGTCAGTGTGAAGCAGCTGTTTAAAGCCAGAAGGCGACAGTGAGGGGAGCTAATGCGGCTAACGGTGCTGCATTATGACGCTAACAGCTCAGGAAGCTCCAGGCTGGGGCCCTGAAGCCCGCTACGGACTACCGCCCGGCACACCTCCGCGCCCCGCTGGGTGATAAAGCTCCTCTCCCCGCCTGGGCAGGTAGAAGCTCCCCCTGGACTCACAGCGCCTACAATGACTCGTGGTTAGCATTCGTTAGCATCTCCTAGCTGTTAGGCTAACGGCTAAACAGCGGGAGAAACGGGACCGTTTGGGGGATTTAAGACGGTGGGGAGGTTCGGTCCGAACCGGTCCGGACCTGGACCGATGTTTAACGAGAGAAGGACGCGTCCTCCTTACCTGTCCTCCCCGGATTTCTTCTGTTTCTTCCCCATAGCGCCGCTGCGTTTCTGCTGAAACCCTGGCTCTCTACTGGCCGACGAACAGCACGGCTCACATTGGACAAAGATCGTCAGCTGAAGAAGCGCTCGAAAGATACTTCACTTTGTTTTTATTTCGTACTTTTTTTTTCTAATGAGATCTAGCGGCGCGTGGTGATATGAAACGAGCAGCGTGGACTCTGGTTATATATAAAGCATCAAGTTATATATCAGTAAAATGCTAATAAAAGCAGTTAAATTCCTTTCAAATCTATAAATAAAAGTCAGCGTAACCCATCTTCGTATTACTTCCCCAACATGTACGCATGGCTCTCAGATGAGCTGCTGCCCATGCGCTGTATCGCACTGACGTATATTTTTAAAGGGCAATACTTACTCATATATTTGATGAAAAATAACGCTATAACAATAGAATTTAAACATTTTTAATAACAAAAGAAGTAGTATTTAAGTTGAACTGCCCTGTAATGTAATTTCACATAGAACATTCCAATCTGTAGTTATTATCTGTAGTTATTTGAGGAGAGGTGGCCTAGTGGTAACTGAGAAGGCTGTAAGTATCCAAGTACTCTGGGTCCCTGAGCAAGACCTTTAACCCCTGATTGCTCCCTGGGCGCTGCACAGTGGCAGCCCACTGCTCCCCAGAGGGAGGGGTTAAATGCAGAGAGTGGATTTCTCCCATAGTGGGACAATAAAGGGACTTACATACATATTTGGTTTTACTAAAATAAAAGAGTGTAATGCCTGTATGAAACACAGAAGAAGATGGGGGCCACTGGAAAAAATAAAAAAAGTTTACTGATCTTTGAATTTTATTTGAGTTTTATATGCGAAACAGGTCAGAATTTGGACTTTTTTCTAAGAGTTCTGACTTTAATCTCAGAATTTTCACTTTTTTTTCCAGAATTCAGACTTTAATCTAAAAATTCTGACTTTAATCTAAGAGGGCTGGGTTTAATCTCAAAATTCTAATTTTTTTTTTTTAGAATTCTGACTTTAATCTCATAATTCTGACTTTAATCTAAGAGGTCTAAGTTTAATTCTCACTTTTTCCGGAATTTAGACTTTAATCTCAGAATTCTGACTTTAATCTGAGAATTGTGGATCTTAATGGGCTCCATGAAGGCAGAGATGTGGAGCTCTCAGCTTCATTTTTTTGAGAGAAACAGGAACACATTGGTGGAAAATGATGAAATTAGGCGACTTTTTCCGTCCCTGGTGATGCTGTTTGATTAATGGAAGAGCAGAAGGTGATTAAAACAAGAGAGCTAGTCTCTGAAACAGACATGGCTACGGCTGGATGCTAACATATTTGTAAGCTGTCAGAATTCTGAGATTAAAGTCAGAATTCTGACTTTTTTTCCAGATTAAAATGAAATATTTAAAAATCAATTAACATGTTTTTTTCAATGGCCCTAATCCTCTTCTGTTATGTAAAGCTGGCCTTTATGATCAAACAAATCTGCACTTTACTTTTATCTTTTTCTCAATAAAATAAAGCAGCAAAGAATAAGGTCTGGTTAAGTAACGGAAAATATAAATACCCTTTAATCTTTATTGCTGTTCATTTTAATTCCTTTAAAAAACAACAAACAGACTTTAAAGTCCAGATTAAGCAGAGCCTCTTTGGATTCAGTCTTCTGTAATCCTCATGGCTTCCTGTAGGGGGCAGCATTCCCCCTGCTTTAACCCATCACAGCAAGCAGGGCCTCACAGAGGTTCCTCAGCCGTCCCTGCAGCTGTCCGCTCTCAGACCGCAGGAGCGCGGCGAGCGCCGCAGCCGCCCTGTGAGGACAGAAGCGTTCTCCCAGCAGAACCTCGCCCGTCGATCTGCTGAGCCTCACAGGAAGCCAGTCCCCCGGGACGTCCAGCCTGCAGCTCTCCACCAACCCATGTTTCACGTCCATGTGTAGCTCAGCAGAGCAGCCAGCGGCCGCCTGGCCGTCCCTCAGTTCCAGCTGTGTCTCCACCCGGAATTTCGGGGTTTTCCCGAACGTCCACTCCCAGCTGCGTAACTCTGCTTCCATTTTGCCAACACCGGGAAACAGGGACTCATCGGCTGGGTGGACGAGCCTGGATGGAGATATGAGGCCAAACTCTGAGGGGAAAGACAGAAGAACATCAATAAAATAAAGTCAGAATTCTGAGATTAAAGTCAGAATTCTGACTTTAATCTCAGAATTCTGACTTTTTTCCTCAGAATTCTGAGGAAAAAAGTCAGAATTCTGAGGAAAAAAGTCAGAATTCTGAGATTAAAGTCAGAATTCTGAGATTAAAGTCAGAATTCTGAGGAAAAAAGTCAGAATTCTGAGGAAAAAAGTCAGAAAGTCAGAATTCTGAGGAAAAAAGTCAGAATTCTGAGATAAAAGTCAGAATTCTGAGATTAAAGTCAGAGTTCTGATTTTTTTTCCTAAACTGGAAAATCAGTTCCCTTTTATAAATTTTTTCCAGTGACCCTAATCCTCTTCCGTATAACAGGAAATTGAAGCACCTGAGTTATATTGCTGCACCACAGCCTCTAGTAGCTCCTCCCACTTTAAGGAGGGCGCATGCTCAGTCAGGTTGGCAACAGGTGAGGGGACGCTGGGGGTGGCGTTGCTGTGTATCCCCGGACAGGAGGGGCGGAGCAACGAGGAGAGGGCGGAGCGATCGGCAGAGTGCAGCAGCGTACAGTGGTGGTAGGAGGACTTCCTGCTGACTCTGGATGCAGTCCCTGCAGAAAAACCCAAACAGAAACAATAATGATGTCATCCTGCAGGGGGCGGGGTCTCTGAGGGCTTCCGCCTACCTGAGATCTTGTAGCGTCCGTTCAGCAATAAATCCAATCTGTCCGTGGCCTGGACGTCCAGCTCCGGGCGGACCCTCCTCAGAGCCTCGCTGATCACCTTCAGGTTCCTCCGACGGTCGTACGCTTTCTTGGAAGTGAAGAAGGTCAGGTTAAGGTTCCCCAGGTCGTGGTAGACCGTCCCGCCGCCGCTGCGCCTCCGGGCCAGAGCGACGTTCCTCCTCCTCATGGCCGGCAGGTCGCACTCTGCCCACGGGTTCTGGTGGCGTCCGATGACGACGGCGGGCCGGTTCCTCCACAGCAGGAGGATGCTGCGCCGCTGCAGGTCAACATGGCCGTCGATCCAATCCTCCAGGGCCAGGTTCTGGTACACGTCGGTGGACTGAGACTGGAGGACGAGCCCAGGACTACGGCAGCTGGGAGGGTCCATGAAGAGGCAGCTGGAGCTGGTCCAGGCCTGCTGGACTCCGGTTCCAGCTCCAAGGAGGTGAAACCTCCTTCTGAGGTGGAACAGCATCACTCAGAGCTCCTGCTTCATTATCGTCTGGAATCAGATTACAAACACAACAGCTCAGTTTGGTCAACTTAAATGATTAGATCAAAGCAAAGGAATAATCTGTGGCAAAGAGAACAAAATCAAACCTAAAATATTCAATTTACTGTGCTTTTATAAACATAAACGTTTAATTATTCGGTTATTTCAAACGTCACAAGCTCCGCCTTCTCTGATCTCCAGCATTAAAGCTGGGTAATATTTGCATTGGCAATAAAATCACAATTTAACCAAGTTTGATTTCAGCGTAAGCAAATAAAGCATGAAACCTTCTTTCTTTGCATCACCTTAAAGGCTGCAGTGAGAAACTCTTTCTCTTCTTATGGAGATTTGAAAATTGCATTTTGTTAAACTTTTATTATATTGCAAATGCAACAAAATCTGTCTAAATAGAACACATCAATGTTCTGCTGCATTTGGCACCATATTTATTTGCACTGCACTGAACTAGAGTGGAAACAATTAATCGGATTCATTGATTATTGAAATATTCATCAACTAATATAGTTTCCTTTTTGATAAAGCTTCTAGTTAGAGTGGCTCAGGTTATCCTGATCTATCTCTATAGTTATGCTGCTATAGGCTTAGACTGCTGGAGGACATAGGGACCCCTTTTTCATCATTCTGCTTCATTCTATCTCTATTCTCTGCAGAATCTATTAGTTCAATCTCTAACGTTCTGCTCTCTCTGCTTTTTCTCATAGTAGCTTCATCTGGTTAATTGCCTTGAGATGACTTGTGTTTTTTATTGGCGCTATAGAAATAAACTGATTTAATTCATTAATAACCCAGCTCTGGTCTAATATAATCTCAATTCTTATTTTCGGCTAAATCGTTTAGCCATAATTAGCGTAAAGCTTGTTTTTTAAATTACTTTTTATTAAGAAAATTACAAATATTTTTAATACATTCACTGTATGAAAAGACAAACTGGAACAGAAGCCATAACAGTTTAATCAGACGCTGACCTGAAGCTGAGAGTCGCTGCCTGCGGACAGGTTAGCCTCCTAGCTTAGCCACTTCCGCTCCAACCCTTCAAAATAAAGGTCAACCCATGACGCGCTAAATCTTAAAGGAATAATAGGAAATGAAGGAAACATAAAGGATATTTACAGATGAAGGGAAAAAAAATCTTCAGAATACAAAATAAAAATATATATAATTTGATGGATAAAATTATGTTGCTACACACTCATGTCCAGTAGGTGGCAGTATGCAGCTTAAATCCGCCATAATAGAAAAGAAAGAAACTAATGGGAAACTAGAGATTTTTTCCCTTATATTTTGAGAATAAAGTCGTAAAATTACAAGAATAAAGTCATCATTCATATTTCATTCATATTTTTGGCAAGATCTTTTAAAGATCTTATTATTTAATTCAAGTCTGATAATGTTTTATAATCCTTATTTCAATCCTTCTTTATTCACCATACATGCGAAATAAGGAGCTGTTCGTTAATTATAATTTAATGGATAGATTTATGTTCAAAGTTTCATTTTTTACACTAAGAAAGCGTAAATTTACTGTGAATATTTGGGGATAATTTCAGCTTTTATTTTATTTTTGCCCACATACCCTACCCTTCAATTCAAGCGACCTATTACCTTAACTGACTAATAATATATTATTGAACATTTAAACTGTATTCACTTGCATATTTGCACCCAAATAACGACAGAGACGAGTTTGTGCTTTTATTCTGAAATACAAGGTCGTCTTTAAATTTGGAACTTCCGCTAAGTCCGTCGCTGTGAAGTTTCCGGGTTGGACCAACATGTGAACGGCTAGCAGTTCTGCTTGGCAAAGTCTTTTCGTTGTTGTTTTTATTATCCGTCTTTTTGTGATGTATTAATATGATTTTTATTTATTTCACAATAAAAAACCTTGTTTCTTAATTATATTTATGTAGTATAAATGATTAGGCTCTGAATAATCCCCCCCTTTAACCACACACACATCCAGACATATACATTGCCGCGCACACACAGGCCCACTTATGAGTGAACAGACTCACTGACACATGCATATATGTCAGAATGTGTCTAAATGTATATTTATTTCAATATGTTTGCATATGTATATATGGTTTATATAATCTGGATAAAGTTTTCATATTTATTTTATAGCCTCTTACATTTACTCTCTGCTTATATATACAATTTATAGTCAATACATACATAGTCTCTGTGCACAAGTATATAAATATTTATATCCTGTATAGCACTTCAGGGTAGATGCAAACTATATTTTGTTGCTTTGTACTTGTGACAGTGTGATGACAATAAAGTTGAATTCTATTCTATCCTGAGCTATCTCTATAGTTATGCTGCTATAGGCTTAGGTTGCTGGAGGACATAGGGACCCCTTTTTCATCATTCTTGTGACGATCAGTGAGCGAGGTGAGGATGGACAGAACCAGGAGGCGGATCTCTGGATCCTCCATCAGGGTGAAGGACAGCAGAGGCTCCAGGAAGGAGGAGGGCAGCGCTGTCAGCAGGTTGCTGCTCTCGTAACGTTCTGAAACCTGAGCAGAGAGGGACATCTTCGTTACATCAAAGACCTTAAAACTCGCAATATTCCTTTTTGGGATTTTTTGAAGTGTAACACCCTTCATTGTGTCACATAGCATAGATTTTCTCAAATATGATTACAGATTTGTTTTACTTTGTTAAAGAAGCCTGTCTACTTTTAGGGGAAGGCTTCAAACTTTCCTTTTTCATATAGTTTATAGTTAGAGTGGCTCAGGTTATCCTGTGCTATCTTTATATTTATGCTGCTATAGGCTTAGACTGCTGGAGGACATAGGGACCCCTTTTTCATCATTCTGCTTCATTCTATCTCTATAGTTCTGCTGCTATAGGGTTAGACTGCTGGAGGACATAGGGACCCCTTTTTCATCATTCTGCTTCATTCTATCTCTATTCTCCCACTCTGCAGAATCTGTTAGTTCAATCTCTAACGTTCTGCTCTCTCTGCTTTTTCTCATAGTAGCTTCATCTGGTCTGTTCCTGTTTGGCTGTGACTCCATCCTGGAGAGAAATATCAGCTGTGCTGCTGCCATCAACACCTTTGTTTCTAGATGTTGGAGCTTGGCCTGTTTTCCAGTGTAGTCCTGTTTCTCTGACTGTGACTAACTGGATGTGCTCTCTTCATCCTCTGACATGGGAGCTGGCTCGGAGCTCGTCTGCCTGGCTGTGTGTTTCCTGGACGGGGCCGCCTGTGGAGCTGGTTGACAGTTGCCTTTTGTATCTATGCTTCTTTTTCTATGTCTGCTTCTGTCTCCTTGAACCCCAGTGGGCCTCAGCAGATGGCCGCTCACACTGAGCCTGGTTCTGCTGGAGGTTTCTTCCTGTTCAAAGGGAGTTTTTCCTCTCCACTGTCGCTACAAGCATGCTTAGTGTGAGGGATTGCTGAAGAGTCAATGAGTCGATGCAATCAGCTGGTTTTCCTCAGATAGAAAACTTTGAATCAATCTGACTGGATGATCTGGTTGAACTGGAAAGTGACCTGAGATGACTTGATGTGAATTGGAGCTATAGAAATACACTGAATAGAATTATTCTGTTCTATTGTTACATTCAATAGATAAATAGAGTCAATAATCAAAGTGAGCTTGATTTTTTTTTCCTCTTTTAACGTCGCTTGTATTGAAGTTTCTATTTATAAGCCGGCCGATCTTTAAAGTCATCATAATGAGGAAGAAGCTCGGAGTCTAATGAGTCGACCAGAGAGAGGAAGAACATGTGACCACTTCCTGACAACACGCAAACACTCAAAACCAGACTCACACACAATGAGTCGAAGTCAGTCAGTCGAAGTCGGGGATGTTTCAGGTGAGACATTTTCACTTTAAATTTAAACTCTGTGTCTGTTCCAAGTGTTATCATTTACTCTTAGCTTATTAGATCTTTTTATATATGTGGAGTTATTTATAAATATATGTATTTAAAGGGCTGTTTAGTCAACATGTTTTATGGTTTAATTGAATGTTTATAAAATGTAACCAAAAAAAGACACAAAAAGTTGATTTAAAACCTCATAAGTATATTTTCCTTTACACATTTCTTACTTGCAGAAGTTTTTAATTGTTCAAAACAAGTCAAAAGAAATCCTAAACATGTTAAAAACAAAATAAATTTTTTTTACAGGTTTTTAATTGAATTGTAGTTTCTGGTTTTTAAGAAAAACCTTCAAATTGTTGCAGAGAAGGAAGCAGAGTTGATCATTTAGGGTGTGAATACTTAGTGCTGTCCTGTTATCACACATTCAAACTTAGTCATTCAGACACATGCAGCTCTGTGTGGTCCGCACATCAGTTCTAATATAGATCTGCTCTGATAAAGCCTGCTTACTGTAGCTAGATGTTAGAAACATGGACTGGAACGGGTTTTTACTTTATTAGATGCTTTCCTTCACTGCATGGCGCCCTCTGGGATTCAGAAAAGCTGTAATATTTAATCCTTTGGCGGCGAATTTTTTAATTTATTTACCCTATTTTAAAAATTGCAGGTTAAATGTGTTTTCTTTTCTGATAAAACTCATTACCTTCCGTTGATTAAATCAGATTACAACTAATTATTGACACGTATCTGTTCTTAGAGAAATGAAACGAGCGTCAGACGTCCTTATCTGAAGCCTCTTTATGTTTCCATATGAGCACTGGAAAAAATCTAAACCTAGATAAGTCATTTTTACTTAAGATAAGTGCATTTGTTCTTGAATTGAGGAGATAAAAGAGACATTTTGCCAATGGAACAAGATAATTTACACTAAAAATAAGAAAACACAATTGCGTTGTCTTTTTTCAAATGCATCAAGTTGCCAGTGGAATCAATATTTTTCAGATCATCCAGTCAGATTGATTCAAAGTTTTCTTTCTAAGGAAAACCAGCTGATTGCATCGACTCATTGACTCTTCAGCAATCCCTCACACTAAGCATGCTTGTAGCGACAGTGGAGAGGAAAAACTCCCTTTGAACAGGAAGAAACCTCCAGCAGAACCAGGCTCAGTGTGAGCGGCCATCTGCTGAGGCCCACTGGGGTTCAAGGAGACAGAAGCAGACTGCAAAAGCGATCTGGAAATAAAGAAAAAATCCTTAAATTGAGGGTATTTACCCTTAATTTGAGTAGATAAATGAGATAGTTTGCCAGTGAAATGAGTATTTTTACTCTTAAAATAAGATTATTAGATAAAATGCACTTGAAAGAAGACAATGCAATTATTTTTTTCTTGTTTAAATGTAAATTGTTGTGTTCCATTTGTAAAATGTCTGCCCAATTCTAGAAAAAATGCACTTATTTTAGGAAAAAAAAGGCTTAGTATTATTTATTTATTTTTGCAGTGCAAATGTGGACCTTATAAAAAATGTTTGGCTCAGGTTATCCTGATCTATCTCTATAGTTCTGCTGCTATAGGCTTAGACTGCTGGAGGACATAGGGACCCCTTTTTCATCATTCTGCTTCATTCTATCTCTATTCTCCCACTCTGCAGAATCTGTTAGTTCAATCTCTAACGTTCTGCTCTCTCTGCTTTTTCTCATAGTAGCTTCATCTGGTCTGTTCACTGGAAAAACGATCTAAAAAAAGAGTCAACATTTCTCAAATTAAGTTTATTTACCCTTAATTTGAGTAAAAGAGGTAAATTGCCAATGGAATTCGTGTTTTTACTTTTAATTTGATAAAATGCAATTGAAATAATAACACATATACTTATTTTAAGAAAAAAATGACTAATCTAGCAGGTTAGATGGACTGAGTGGAGGTTAGGCTGCGTGGCTGAAGAGGCAGAGTGAAACCCTGTGGTGAAGCTGCTGGGGGGTGGGGGGGTCTACTCTTCAGGTGGGTGTAGAGGAAGAGCCAAACGTAGGCTGAGGTTTGCCGAAGGCGTCAAGGATGAGCTGGCAGTGGAAGATGGGCTGGAGCTTCTCGGGCGTAGAGCTTAGTCAGCCTGGCGGCGGCGGCTTTGGTCGCACAGACGTCTCATTAAAGCACATTTAGAAGCAATAACTGATCAATCTGACGTTATCAGTCTAGTACATCGTTGAGGAGACGTGTTG